CTGTTAAAAAGCCTTGTGCATTGAGCTCAAGCGATGCATTATACTGCAGTCATATTCAGAATTAAATGAATCAGCTCCATAGTTAACTTGGTTGATATCAAATAAATTAACAAAGGGGCTCTGTATTGATGGACAGGGACCACATTTCCATGGATCTAGTAAAATATAGTGGTGATACTGCAAACCTGCTTGTCATGTGCATTTCATAAACTTCACTTATTTCTGGAAGATTTTGTTCTAATTCCAGCACATCTAATAATCAGCAAACTAATTGAAGTGAGATAACACATGAATATTTGCTCAGCTAAGAAAATCCTGGGGACAGCACTGGAACATTTACTACCATCCAAGTACTGAGATGACAAAGAAGGATGATTTAAAGAACAATAGGTCTAACGAGACATTTAAGCCATGAGAAACTATATTCGAACTTATTGATCATGTGCTGCTACTTGAGTCTATCAAGCATGTTGTTATGAAATGATAGCAGAGAAAACAGAAGTGTAAAAATAAGAAAAGAAATAAGAAGTGCATAGCATACCTTGTCAAAAGCAAGGAGGCAATTTTTAGAGGGTGTCCCAACAAATGGAACATTTGCTTTCTCCAAAAGCTCCTGAATATTTCCAAACAGCATTACAAACACTAACTTATATCTGATATGCAAAATGTGAATGAATTAAGTATGACATGGCAAGCATCTAATTCTTTCAGTATGTGAGATCGTATCATCAAAAGCAATTGGCAACAGTATGCAATTTCATGAAATTCAGAACCATTCAGTACTAGATGGTAGTGCCATGAGAAGCCAAACAGAGTGAGAGAATCCACAAGCATGTATCAGAGCACACTTAATTTCTTTCCCTCACAATGCATCTTCAGTGATTATACTTTTCTTTTGCCGGAACGGTGGAGAGATGCCATTCGATTTTATTAGATAGGGGAAGCCAAATGGTAGAACCGCGGCATGGGGGGGTTTACGACAGCAAGTGCTCGGGGAGTAGCAGGCCCTGAGGGCAGCCTGAGCTGTTTATACTACTCCATCCGTTTCAGGTTATAAGACGTTTTAACTTTGGTCAAAGTCAAACTGTTTCAAGTTTGACTAAGTTAGTAAATTAGTAATATTTATAATACTAAATTAGTTTCATCAAATCAATAATTGAATATACTTTCATAATCAATTTGTCTTTGGTTGAAAATGTTACTACTTTTTTCTACAAACTTAGTCAAACTTAAGCAGTTTGACTTTAACCAAAGTCAAAACGTCTTATAACCTAAAACGGAGGGAGTATAACAATTACAACAAGAAGAAGCAGTGGCAGTGAGTTATAGTGACCTGAATACCACCATCTTCACCAAATTTGCCATGGATCACCGGGAAGACAATGTCAACATTTGCGGCAAGATGTTGTGCAAAGTCAAATAGGGATTGGAATCCTTGGGCTAGACTGTAGTAGTGAAAGTTATAGTTTAATATATAGAAATGAACTAGAAGAATTACTAAGGAAAACAAATAATAATAATGGGAATAACCTGACCTTTCAAGTTTGAAATCAAAATCTGAAGGGGTGTTGGAATATAGCTGCACGGTAATAAAACAGTAAAAGTAAAACATGAGAAGCAGTCGGCTATAAAAGGTTGATGATAAAATAGTAAATGATGAAGTGCGAGGAATGCAGCAAACAGAGTAGGTAAGTAGTGTAGTATGACAATAGTCAGGAGCCACATCGACTAGTATAAAAATGATGAAGAGCACACAGATACCCGCGAATGAGATGGAAGCAAGCGCAGCAGAAACAACATGTAGTACATAGACTCTAGGTAGGTAGCAGTCGAAGAGTGAAGGAGGCACCTGCGCAGGTGATATGGCGTAGGCGTTCATGCCGCAGTCGATGTAGTAGCAGGTGACCAGCAAGTCCTCCCCCTGCATTTGATTTGTTTCAGTTTCAGAAGGAATACAACTGTGAGGAAAATGAAGCGAACAAATTGATCTAGTCCAGTAAAAGCAGAGTGACGATACGACAGTGTAGTGAAGAGTGAAGAGAGGTGCGTTCTCGCCTGAATGTGATCGAGGACGGATCGCGCGGAGTTGAGGGAGATGCCCCTCTCCGGGGAGGGCCCGCCGCAGACGAGGCCAACCCGGAGCGGCCTCCCCTCCGATTCGCCCACCATCTCCACCTCCCGCTGGGACTCGGAGAGCAGCGCCCGCAGCGGCAGCGAAGCGAAAGCTGAAGCTGCAAGTAGAGGAGGAGGAGGGGTGGCGAGCGAGAGCGAGGCGAGGAGGCGAGGGGCGCGGGGGCGAAATATAGCGGAGGCGGTGAGTGGTGGTGGGCGTGGGAGGTGAGCGAGTGGGATCAGCATGCCGCGCGCGGCGGAGGGATATGGGATGCGGTGGCGAGGGTGCGGTGGTGGTGGTGGCGACTTGTGCGGCCGGGCTACGGCACGGTGGAGAAGGCGATGGGGCGGATGCGGGCGTCTGCGGCGGTGCTGATCGCTGGAGCCGGCGCCGGGTAAGGTAGCTTTGTCCGTTTGCGGCGGCTCCACCTTTGTCGCGTCGTTTCCTCCGGCGCCGCGTCACTCACCAGTCCCCCTCCCACCCCACGCCGGCCGCCCGCACCCGCGCGCCATGATTCACAGGCCGCACCTTCTTATTTAACTCTTGTTTTTTTTTTATTTTACTTTTCTTTCATCACATCAGAGGATATTTGGTACTATTATGCTCAAGCAACAGATTCTCTACTACTCCACTATCCTATTATGCCGCCGGCCGGCCGAATATATACTCCCTCCGTTAAAAAAAAAATCAATCTCGTGCCGACACATCCTAATGCTCTGGACATAGTCTGAATACAGATTCTTATGTTGGTTTTTTTAATATGGAGGGACTATTATTTTTAGCATAGTGTCTTAATCTTAAAATAAAACTATTTTTTTCACTTACATTTTCTCTCAACCAATCATAACATTTCTTCACTTAATTTTTTACCTAATTTCTTTTCTCAATCAATCACAATATTATTTTCATCATTTCCACCTTATTTCTTTATATACAAGAAAAAATATCTGTGTGTTGCAACAGGTAAACTAAAAATATAACAAATATAAAAATTATTACTAAAGAAGGAAAGAAAGTTCTAAAAAAATAAAGAAAAAAAGAGGCACCGTTATTGTTGGCCTGCTAGGGCATTCGTGTGCACATCTAAGTAGTGTCGCGGACCGAGGATGGAGGTCGGCTAGACACATGATCGATTTAAGTCATTCATTTTGATGGACTACTCGGATCGGTTCTAAATCCATCAAAACCACCATTACCTAAAAACCATAACCCTAGTTTCACTTTTCCCCCTCCTTTCCGCACCGTGGGCTGCCCCTTCCTCTCTCCCCACCTGTGTCGCCGCTGCCCATCTGCTCTCCCCATCGGCGTCGCCACTCCCTCTCTGCCTCTCCCCTTCTCCTCCTCCCACAAGACATTGCCGCTCCCCCTCCCCTCCCCTCACCGGCGGTGTCGCTCCCTCTCCCCCACCGACGCTCTCTCTCCTCACACCATCACCCCCTTTCATCCTCGTCGGGGTGTCGCCGCTGCCCCGCTCTTTGCTAAATCCAGCACGAGGCTCGTAAGGTCTAGCCTTGGGAGGCGATGGCGGTAGCTCGAAGGCAGCGGTGGCAGTTGACGCTCAACGGCGGCAAACTCGTGCCGCTCTTGTATCCATTGAGGTTCAGTGGCTGGATTTTTGTTCGATTTGAGTTTTTTTTTTCTTCGTTTGTCGTTTTTCAATTATTGTATTTGAGATATTCGTATGGGCTGGCCCATTAAAGCGCATGCTGAACCGTAAGTAGAACAAACGTCCATCTGATAACAGCATCGTTTGGGTTATACGTCCATCATGATAACAGTATCATTTGGTCTTCAGCTTATCAATCAGAGACATTTAATTTTAAAGTGGTTTTAATTTTAAAATTGTAATTTATTTTTAACGCTGATTTTTAAGTTGCTAACAAACATATATATAATTTTACTCAAATTTATTTTTTATCACCAATAAGCGTAATGGCTTGTAATCTCTTGTTGAGGAACGGGTACTTCATCCGTCCCAAAATATAGTTATTTCTGGATACGAATTTGGCTAAATACTGCATTTTACTATGGTGGATGAATGTATAAAAAAACAGAGTGAATTGTAGTTTAAGCCACCTTCTATTATCAAAATTTCACTACGGGCCACCTTTTATCTAAGTTTTTCACTTTAGTCTAGCTAATTTTGTTTTTGTTTCACTTTGGATAACCCTATCTTCTCGAACATTATCTAGTCTCTCCTTTAGCAAAGGGTAGCTTGCATGTAAGTAGGTAAGATAGTCGGCTTGTGGGTGCCAATGCACCTAAAGTTATTGTTGTGCTTTCAGAAGGGAAATTGGGGTGATCCGAAGTGCAACAAATACAAATTTACCTAGATCAAATTGAAAAGATTATGTAAAATTAATGGATAAATATAAGTTAAAAAAGTGAAAATGATGTGGGGATTATAATTTGTCATCTTACATGTTAAGCTTAGAATATAATTAAATTATAGATTATATAGTTTTTTTTGTTTTTAAGAAATAATAATTGATTGTGGATGACGATGTGATATATTAAACTGGGTTGTAAGCATATAAAATTGTAAATTAAGAATCGCTTAACTAAAGGTAATAGTAGTAGTAGTAGTAAACAAGTGCTGATGAACACGTACGTACATTAGGCCAGCAAACAAAATGAAAGTAACAAAGAGATTGAATATACATTATATACATTTTGGATCCAGTCCCAAAACAATCGAGATCCATGCATATGCATGTTCCATGATCGAGCTACTAATTTAGTTAATCAACCGCGGCGACTGCAGTTGGAATGTGTGAGATGCATATATATATATATATATATATATATATATATATATATATATATATATATATATATATATATATATATATATATATATATATATATAACAACAAGTATATGTATATGAAAATAAATAATGGGGGCCGGCAATTGATGCAGGTGAGTGAGAGATCGAAGATCCATATATAGTGTGTAGTACGTAGGTCCGGGCTGGGGGCTGGGGCGATGATGGTTATAGTACAGGAGTGAAAAATTAGTGCATCCTGCCCTGCTGCGTCTGGGGGAGAAGGCCGGGGATGTAAGGGACGCCGAACTTGGGGATGAACTCCTGGCCCTGGATGAAGGCCTCCACGGTGAACTCCTTCTGGACGTCCTGGTAGGTGAGGGACTGGACGCCCTTCCACTTGGCGCGCTTGCTCATGTCGGCGCCGGGGCCATGGTTGTCAACCTCCGCGTAGTAGAGGGTGTCCAGGGCGAAGTTGCCGTTCCACTCCAGCCACCCCACCGGATCCACCACCGCCCCGATCTCGTTCTGCACGAAGATGGTCCGCGAGTACTCCTTCCACGGCCGCGCCAGGTACGTCTTCACCTTGTCCGTGAACTTCTCCAGGTCCGGGTGCGGCGCCACCGTGCAGTTGTGGATCACCGTCCCTCCCGCCGACCTCTTCTCCCGCCGCCCCTGCGCCGTTATGATGTTCACCTGGTTGTCCATCGGCTTACGAGGCTGGAGCAAGCAGTTCTGAAGAACAACCTGCACGCGGCATTGTGTTTTTGTTTTTGTTTTAGTATGTATATAGAACAACAACAACAACAACAGTTGCTAACTATTTTGCTTGCCTGCGAGTTCCCGAATATGAAGTCGATTGTCCCCGACACTGTGCAGTCGCGGAAGAACTGGCGCTGCGCGTGCGGGTACAGCGTGTCCTGGTACCCGTCGAACTCGCACTGGTAGAACACCGCCATGTCGCTCTGCGCGCGGAGAGCCACCGCCTGGTGGTTCTCCGGCCCCGCCGTGTTCTCCACCGTGATCCCCCTCATGAAGAAGCCGTTCCCGATCGCCTCCATCGTCGCCGTGTCCTTGGTCGTCAGGTTCATCTTGAAGTTCTTGTTCCCCGTGATGATGGTCTTCCCGATGCCGTCGCCTATCATGTTCACGTTCGTCGCCGGCCGCCCCACCGACACGTACTCATTGTACGTCCCGGCCTTCACGTAGATGGTGTACCGCTCCTTGTTCTTCGGGGGCACCTTCGCCACCGCCTCGCCGATCGTCTTCACGTCGCCGCTCCCGTCCGCCGCCACCGTCACGTCCGGCTTGAACTCCACGGGCCCGGCCTCGGGCCCCGCCGCCTCCAGCAGCTGCCGCCTCCCGCCCTCCGACATCCACACCGGCATGCCGTCGTCGGCGAGCAGGCGGCGGCGGCCGATGTTGAGGCTGCCGAGCGTGGCGGAGAACTGGTCGACGACGGCGAGGATGTCCTCCGTGAGCTCCTGCGAGCTGTTGAGGGCGCTTTTCATCTTGTCGGCGGCGTCGGTGGTGGTGTTGAGGAAGCCGTCGAGGCAGGTGCCCTGGTAGGTGAGGGCGGCGCTGAGCCAGGTGCGGAGGTCGTCCACGGCCTTGTGGAAGTTGGTCATCTCGAACCCCCCGAGCTTCTCGAACGACGTCTTGAGGTCGTCCACGGCATACTCCAGCAGCTCCTTGCAGTTCTGCAGGGCGCCCGACGTGCGCTTGTCGTTCTTGAGCTCCTCCAGCGTCGACGACTCGCTGATGGCCTTGGAGATCTTCTCCGACGTCACGGCGAACATGGCCTTGGCCAGGTCCGTCGGCGAGCTGGCGCCATTGCCGGCGGCCTTCCCCAGCTCCTCCTCGCACGTCTGCTGGTAGTCCGTCGGCTGGCAGAAGGCCTTCACCGACTTCACCGACGTGGACAGCTCGCCATCCTCCTTGCCGCCGCCGCCGTTCTTGAACGACACCACGCACACGGCTGCCACCACCGCCACCACCAGCACGGTGGAAGCGCCGATGATAGCACCTTTGCTCATGGTTCCCTCGCCGCCCGGCCGCCCCCCTGCGCTCTGCCTGCTGCCTCCCTAGCTAGCTCCAATTAATGACGACGATATAGCTACCTAGCTAGGATGGAGGCAATGCAAGCATCCAAGCACGCATGCAACCCTCCTCTTCTTATAGCACCTTGCACCTTCGGAGGAGGGTAGCAGCCAATCCAAGACGCCGAGATGCTCGGACGCCGTGTCCATCGCACGTACCTTGCTTTGCAACGACCAAAATAGACGGAAGGTCGTCCTTAGTCGTTACAACCAACCACCATTGTTTTGTTTGAAAAACGTTGCTTATGTGATTCGGCCCATAAGAATCAGCCCATGAATATTTGCACGATGATCAAGTCAATGTCACATACTCACGTGGCACCACCCTCAACCAAAACTACCACCTCCTAAAACCACCAAGAAACTTAATTTACACTTAGACCCTATTTGGCACAGCTCCAGCTCCCAACTCCAACTTACCTAGAGCTGGAGCTATGCCAAACGGTACAAATTCTCTGTTTTTTGGAGCGGAGTTGGCAGAGCAGCTCCACAAATTTGTACTACGGGGGTGGAGCTGGGTTTTTGCTGCTCCACAGCTCCACTCCACCCCAAAAGACCCACTACCCTTTAAAATTTTGATGTATTTACACAAAAATGCCATTGAATAACCCCTAAACTCTTCCTCCTCCTCCTCCCATTCTCTCTCCTCCCATCTTCTCCGACAAGATCCGGCAGGCTGGTGGCGGCGACGCGCGGCCTCAACAGCGGCGCACGGGCTCGGCGGCGGCTCGTGGGCTCGGCGGCGGCGGCGCGGGGGCTGGCCGGCTGGCGGCGGCGCGAGGGCTAGGCGGCGCGCGGGCTCGGCAGCGGCGCGGGGGCTAGCTGGCTGGCGACGACGCGCGGCCTGGCGGCGGGGATTTTTTTTTTCAATTTTTTTCAGATCTGGAGCTAAAAGTTTGCCAAACACTTTTTGATAGGTCTGCAACTTCAATGGGAGCTAGCTCTAACTGGAGTAGGAGTTTGGAGCTAGGAGTTGGAGTTAGGAGCCCTACCAAACGGGGCTTTAGTTGAGGGACACTCTGTACCCGAGTTTTGCGGTTTGGGTCGAAATTGGACCTATAGTTGATGGATGTGAAGTGGACTTTTGTCTTCGTAATAAATCTCCCTATTAGGAGAAGGAATAAGTTCATCCGAGATCCCTTAACTTGTCAGCGAATCCGATTTTCATCCTTCAATCAGAAAACTAGATACAACAGGTCCCTCAACTGTCAAAACCAGTGTATAAGAGATCCCTCGGTGGTTTTGACAGCGGTTTTTGGCTGACGTGGCGCCTACGTGGCTAATCTGACTTGGTCTTCATCTGATGTGGGATTGACGTGGCGCTTACGTGGCAGTTCGATCCGGAAAAATAATAAACTTCGTGGGACCCACATGTCAGTTTCACCAAAAAATTAATAAAAAAATAGTGGGCCCACATGTCAACTTAAAAAATAAAGATTGTGGGGAGTCCCTCTCGGCTCTCCCTCGTCCTCGCGGCGGCAGGACCATGCCGGCGGAGCGGCGGGGCGTCGGCGGCAGGCCGCGGGCGGCGGAGGAGGTCGCCGGCGAGGGCGCAGAAGCAGAAGGTGGCGCTAGCAAAGCAGCTCAACCTCCGACCGCGGCAACTGGAGGTCTAGTTCCAGAACCGCTGAGCCAGGTGCATGCAAAGAGATTTTCTCCTCGATTCCTCGTTGGCTTAAAGTGCCGCCTCCCTCCTCACAGCGGCCAGCTCGCGTCACCCTCCGGCGGCGCGCCTTCCAAGGCCGAGAAGCCGTCGGGCGGCAAGAAGAAGGTAGGCTGGCTCAAGAACATCAAGTCCGTCGCCATCAGCTTCATCCAGGACAAGGACAGCAGCGGCAACAGCAAGTCAACCCCATCTACGACCACGTCCTCCGCCGCCGACGCCACCTCTTCGTCGTCATCCTCGGCGTCGTCATCGGAGCGGCTCAAGGCGCACCAATCCGGCAAGTCATGCAAGGAGCTCACCGGGCTGTACATGTGCCAAGAGATCATGGCGCACGAGGGGTCAATCTGGAGCATCAAGTTCAGCACCAATGGCCGTTGGCTGGCCAGCGCCGGCAAGGACCACGTGGTGTGCATTTGGCTGGTGGTGGAGGCGAGCTCCCAGGCGTGCCTTCCGAATGACAGCAACTCGGGCCCCCTCCCGCTGCATCCCCCCGCCGCCACGCCGGCGGACGGGACGTCATCATCGTCAACGCCGACGCTGTCCAAGAAGTCGGTGAAGGCAAAGAGCGGCAGGGACACGCTCCCAGAGCCCCTCCTGCGCGCCGTCGGCCTTCCCGAGCCTCGGCACGGCGGACCTCACATGGTCCTCTCCCACCGGAGAGATGAGAGAGAGGATAGAGATAAGAGGGGAGAAAGGGAAGACATGTGGGGCCCACGTGGGCCCCACCATTTTTAATTATGTTTTATGTGAAACTGACATGTGGGTCCCACTGATTTTATTATTCTTGCAGATCAAATTGCCACGTAAGCGTCTCATTAGATGAAGACCGAGTCAAATTAGCCACGTAAGCGTCGCGTCAGTCAAGACCACCATCTAAACCGTCGAGGAACCTCATCTGCACCGGTTTTGATAGTTGAGGGACCCGCTGGATCTGGTTTTTGATTGAAGGATAAAAATCGGATTTGTTGGTAAATTAAACTTATTCCTTATGATAACCTTTTTTGTCCGGACGATTTCAGGTGACACGGCCTATCAAATTCAAATTCAACCCATTAGACCCATTCGGGCTGGATGACGTCAATAAGGCGGGGCCCGGAGGTGAGAAAGGAAAGGAAAGGAAAGGAAAACAGAGCATGACGGTGGTGTCAACGGCAGGGAGCACAGCATAAACCGCGTCCATAAGTCACACTCTGATTACACTTTCATCCTTGAAAATTACGATCCGTCCGTATGTCATGCGGACTGCACTGCGCTGACTCGTTCTTGCTCTTGTTGCAATCTTCCAAACAGTAGCTTACAACGATGGAGTCGGTCAGTCAATTTCTCTCGTCAACTCCTCTGCCTCACTCTGCAGCTTCTTCTCCTCCCCTCTACTAAATCTCTCTAGTTATCCAATCACCACAAAGTAAAGAAACAACGAAAATTGAAGCAGCACATCGATTCATCGAGAGTACCAATTCAATTCGGACATGGCCGTGTTCATCATCGCCAATAATCCTTTGGCGCGCTATGCCGTCTTGTTTGCTGCTGCTGTCTTTCTTGTCGCCGCCGCGCAGGCACAGCCTACCACGCCCCCGCCGCCGCCGCCGCCGGAGATGGACTGCAACGGTATACTCCTCACCTACAACCTCGATCGCCGTGACAAGATCAGGCCATTCGTCGCCGCACCCGAAGCCGACGCCCAGCCCTACTCCTTCCGCGCCACCGCCACCGTCCTCAACTCCGGCACCCGCGCTCTCCGCTCCTGGACGCTGCGCCTCACCTTCCACCACCGCGAAATCCTCGTCCAACTCGATGGCGCCGTGCTCACCTCCGGCGCCGACCTGCCCTACAACACCACGGCAGACAACGCCACCTCCTTCTCCGGCTACCCGCAGACGGACCTCCTCACCCCGATCGCCACCGCCGGCGACCTCACCAAGATACAGGCCACGCTCAACCTGGTCGGCACGCTGTTCGCGGGGCCACCGCCGTACGTCCCGCTCCCTTCCGCGCTCTCGCTCGCCGACCCGTCCTACACCTGCCCGCCGGCCATCAACGTCTCCACGTCGACCCTCTCAACCTGCTGCATCCTCACGCCGGAGGCCGCGGCGAACGCGAGCGCCGGCGACTTGGACGCGGGCAGGGCGACGTCGTACCTCCCGCGCGGCGCGGGCGACCTGGTGATCACCTACGACGTGCTCCAGGCGCACGAGACCACGTACCTGGCGCAGGTGACCCTGGAGAACGACGCGCTGCTGGGCCGCCTCGACGGCTGGGAGCTGTCGTGGGAGTGGCTCCGCGGCGAGTTCATCAGCTCCATGCGAGGAGCCTACCCGCGCCAGGTCGGCGCCACCGACTGCGTCTACGGCGCGCAGGGAGCCTTCTACAAGGGCCTCGACTTCTCCAAGGTGCTCAACTGCGACCGCAAGCCGGCCGTTCTTGACCTGCCGCCGTCGCGCCGCGGCGACGAGGACATCGGAGGGATCGACCACTGCTGCCGGAACGGCACCATGCTGCCCAAGTCCGTGGACGCGGCGCAGTCCAAGTCGGCGTTCCAGATGGAGGTGTACAAGATGCCGCCTGACCTCAACCGGACCAAGCTGTACGCTCCGGCCAACTTCAGGGTGTCCGGCGCGTCGCCGCTGAATCCGGAGTACGCGTGCGGGCAGCCGGTGCGGGTGACCCCAACGGAGCTCCCTGACCCGAGCGGGCTCGCGTCGACGACGCTGGCGCTGGCGACATGGCAGGTGGTGTGCAACATGACGGCGGCGCCGCCGTCCAAGCCGCCCAGCTGCTGCGTGACCTTCTCCGCGTTCTACAACGAGTCGGTGATCCCTTGCAGAACCTGCGCGTGCGGCTGCCCGGCGAGCCCCGCGGCGGCCTGCAGCACGACGGCGCCGTCGATGCTCCTGCCGCCGTACGCGCTGCTGATGCCGTTCGAGAGGCGGGGGAGGGAGGCGGTGTGGTGGGCCGGCGAGAAGCGGCTGGGGGTGCCGAGGCCGATGCCCTGCGGCGACAGCTGCGGCGTGAGCATCAACTGGCACGTGGCGACGGACTACGCCGGCGGGTGGAGCGCGCGGGCGACGCTGTTCAACTGGGAGGGCGCGGACGTGGCGGAGTGGTTCTTGGCGGTGGCGATGGAGAAGCAGGCGTACGACGGGTTCGAGCAGGCGTTCACGTTCAACGCCACGGCGATGGGGAACGGCACCACCATGATCTTGATGAAGGGGAGGGAAGGGTTCCAGTACCTCAAGAGGGAGAGCAACATGAGCGGCGTCGACTACCCCGTGGCCGGGAAGCAGCAGTCGGTGCTGCTGTTCACCAAAAAGAGGAGCGGCGGCGGCATCGACGTGGTCGGCGGCGACGGGTTCCCGACGAGGGTGTTGTTCAACGGGCACGAGTGCGCCATGCCGCAGAGGATTCCGAGCAGTGCCCATCGTCGTTGTCTTGTCCTATTGTGGACTACTCTTCTTGTATTCATGTCGTCCATTCTACTGGTGTTGTCGCTGCTGTAAAAACGTTCAACGCGTCGCTGGTAGAGGAGACAGGAGGCGCTGCTAGGATGGTTTGTGATATGATGTATGGCGGCGGTGGGGGTGGAGATGAGAGGAGGGCTAGGGTTGTGATTTATCGCTATTAAATTTTGTAACACATTCAGACATGTAAATAATCTCTAATGAAAATGTTATCAACTACAAAATCATACATCACGTTCAGATATACGATTTTGATATAGAGCTTATCACCATCCAAGATGTTATATCAAACATCATGAGACCACAAATTTTAAATATCTAAATAGATTTGAGAACTTCTAACATATCTATACTCCTATAAAATATAGTAGTGATGGTGCTAGTGGTGAATCTGCTAACACTCCCAGTCTCCCTTGGAAATGAAAAAGAACGTGTGCCAAAGGGTCCATATATCAACCACCCAACCAACAATTCCCTACTTTCTATGGAAAGGAAAAAATCACAATGTGGAGCAAAGAGAATAAACATGTTAGTAACAAATAGAGTATATATATGAAAAAATTAAGAGATGGTGTATAAAAAAATGATGATATAATGAGTTAATAATAATTTTCTTTAATTAAAATCCTATTGTAATGCACGGGCAATATGCTAGTATTTAGACATGTAAACAATCTCAAAAAAAAATATTATCGATGATAAATCGGTACATATCGTAAAGCTCTACGATATAAAGATTATCTTCATCCGACTTCGTATGAAAAAGTTATTTTTTTTAAAAAAAATGCAATTCGAGTATCATTGGCCCTGTTTGGATCTGGAGGGCTATTAAATAGCCATCCAGAATCTTGCTATTTAAGAGTATTAAACGTAGATTACTGATAAAACCCATTCCATAACCCCTAGACTATTTTGCGAGACGAATGTAACGAGGTATATTAATCCATGATTTGCTACGGTGATGCTACAGTAATCAACCGCTAATTATGGATTAATATACATCATTAGATTCGTCTCGCAAAATAGCCTAGGGGTTATGGAATCGATTTTGTCGGTAATCTACGTTTAATAATTCTAAATAGCAAAATTATAGAGGGCTATTTAATAGCCACGAGGATCCAAACAAGGCCATTGTCGGTTCAATACTCAATGGACAGGATAGTGCTTGTTCATGACACGAACCGGCAGTGATACTAAGTATTATCGGTTCTATGACTTTTGGGTAGGATTGGATGCAAGAAGTATATAACCAATAGTGTTGGATCACCATCGGTTCACGCCGAACAGACAGTAATAGGCTAGCAGTGTTACCCCGTTCTGTGGTAGTGGTAGGAGTTAAAAGTTTCATGGGTTCTCAATTTCTCATACGTGTGCGTGTAATGGCCAAAAGTGATAATAGAAACTTGATAAAACAGGCCTCCAAATGATCAAGAAAACAAAGCAATCTTAAAAAGTTGGACACCAAGTAAGGGCTTGATGTCAATAGTTTTAAGAAGAAATAAGTAAATATTTCTCGTGAGCGTGCTCCACGAGAATTGAACCCGAGCCAACGGTTTGCATGCCAGCAACCCCTGCTACTGCGCTATAAGCACATCTCAAAACAAAGTAATCTTACCTTGAAGTACTAAACATATGGGATTATCCAGGAAATAGGCTGATTGATGTCCGTCCAGTTAAAAAAAAACCATTGGTTTTAAAAAGCTTAACAAATCAGAAAACTCGCTGAACTGTGAGGAAGCAATTAACTCAGCAAGTACATGATCGATCATAGCGACAGTAACTAGAGCATACCTTTTCTTGCAGCATATCCCAGATCCTTCAAATAATTTCTCCACAGAGCCGAAAGAGGCAGGCTTTCCAATTGAACAGTGTCACCTTCTACAAGAACGAAGAAACTTGATCACTTGAACTTGCACTGGTTTCTCTATTGGGACAACTGCCGCGATGTCAAGCAATAATCGGATAGGATGATATCAACCACCACACAAGTGGTGTCATCTTTCAGCCCAGTTTCTTTTTAGAGCTTGCTGCATAAGTAAAAGTAAAAGCAAAACTAGATGCCAAAAATTGTAATTGAGTCAATTATGCCAAGTACCATAAGCTTTGCAGCCAATTCTGCAGGTAAATCTCGGCAACCGGCATGCCTTTGCCGCTGCTACATAGCCAGAGCGGCCCAGAGGGAAGCGCATCCCATGTACCATCTGATCGATGATCAGCCTTCCTCCAATGTTTGAGAGCTCCATTTACCGAATAGTGAAGTTCAAAACTTTAAAAAGTCCAGCCTTCAGTACAACATATTAGAAAAAGAATCTATAAAACTGCATGCACTTTGTAATTCCTGCCCACCTTAACTTGGTCGACATGTGAAATCGCCCCCCTACAGCCAATGGATCTTGATAGGCACAGGCCACCTGGCCAGCACCCAAGAGGGCCAACCTAAAACAAAGCATCAACAACAATACATTATGCATAAAAAAAAAGTTGCCCTTTTTTTTTTTAATCTGGCCATTCACTACCAAACTCCGGAGCGACCTCCCCACCGCTAGCGTTCTCCTCCAGCCGGTGGTCCATGGTGAGCAGCTGCCCCCTGCATGGACAACCAGCAGGGAGCCGAGAGAAGTACGCCATGGACACCTCCTCCTTGGAATTATGCTCAACTTCCTGATGTTCGAAATGGGTACCACGCAAAGCACCGAACTAATTAACCAATCACAGCACCAAACTCCACCCTAAATTTTGTGTTCGTCACTCAATAGCTACTAGCAAGCCCAAAATGTGCATAGAACCGAGTGAAAGTGTGAAACTGCGAGACGCAAGGGGGGCGATTACCTTCTGGAGTCAGTCCTGGCCGGCGTCGGCGGTGGACGCCAGTGCTATTGCTGCCGCCGCCTCTTGTATTCGCGTCGTCAACTCTACTAGCGTGGTGGCTGTTGTAAGCCAAATGTAGTATACTCCTTCCAAATCCAATCGTAAATACATTGACGCTAGCTGCGTATACTCGCAGTCTAACTCTTCAATTCACTGCCATCTCTCCCATCCACATATGATATACAGCACGCGATTTCCAAGCGGCAGGATAGATCAAACAGAAAGAACAGATCCCGTACTCCAATTACGCTGCTTCCTCTGCTTAAATCCAGAAAAATAGAGCACACGCATGCAGAAATCTTTGCATGCTGGCTGTCTGTCACATAGGAGTACACATGGAAGAAGACATGACTAGGAAGGCTTTCCCTGATCGATCCAAAAGATGGTTCAACTCTTGAGCAGCAAGCACCTCATCTCCGGCCGGACGTGAATGTCTTGTCCAGTCCACAGCCTGCACACACAGCTCCATCACTCCGCAAGCTCTAAGTTCATCATGGTCACCCTTTGTTCTGTGGTCAGCTGGCCGGGGGCTCTGCACTTCATGTCAGAGAACGCCGGTATCAGCCGGCAGTGTCTGCAACTCTGCACTGAGCTCCGCCTTCAACAAACGATGCCATTGCTGCACAAGAAAAACATACTCCCAAAACTGCAATTTGGTTCCAAACTGAACTACAATGTCATTTGTCATCCACAAAATATCAGCAGCCCTCCCACCAGTAATTACATTTCACACCACATCAGAGAAAGAAAAGAGCTCATATCCAGCTCACACTTTGTTGGCCTCAGTGTAAAGACAACTAACCACCATGAATGTCGCAATCAGACTGGACAAGGTAAGCGGTTTCTCCCACAGTAATATTTCACAACTATAAAGCTAACAAGGTTTTCAGAATTATTCCAGCAGTGCACAATGTGCACACATATCATTGTTTCAATCTTTCTTTCTACATCAGTAGCATCGCTTCCATGTTTCCCATATGTAGCTGACCCAAAATATCCAAATGATGGCATTGTTACATGGCATGACTTTTCTTACATGACCATTTTTGCACATCAGCAGCGCCAGAATATCCAGGTAGCCCAAAATCATGTTTCATGGCATAGTTGATTCAAGATTCAGGTCTTGCAATTTGCCGACCTTAAACATAGCTTTCTGGAAATCGCACATCAGCTTTGGGTAGAAATGGTCCACTATGGAAGGAAACTCGTCTTCCTTGAACTGTGCCGCATGACGCCTGCAGTTTCTAAGGAACCTCAAGAGATCCTTCACATCATCCTTATACTCTATTTGCTTGCCATCTTTATCCATATATTCCTTTGTGCTCTTTAGGAAGGAATTATTTGGCATCTTACTTTTCCAATAATTGTACTGTCTAAGATCAGACAGCACACTCCCATAGGCTGCTGGATCAGATGTTTCGATCTCCAAAAAAATGTCATGGAGAGACATGAATGAGCTAGCATTCTGCCTTGGTTCCATCAAACCATCATGATGACAGAGCAGGTACTCAAACCCTTTGACACCTGAAGACATCAAACATAGCCATTCTGAAAGACTATTTGGAATTGATGTGCGTACAAAAACCTCCTTCTTCACCATCTTAACAAAGCTCTCATAGTCCAAGTTCTTATCACTGAGATCAGCGCCATACTTCAAATTGTCTTCCATAAGATTTCCAATCCTTGCATTGTTATCATCATCATAGAAGAAATTTTCAGCACCAAATTTTCCACAAAGTGATATATTTTCCTTATGCAGGGCTTGAATAAGTCTAAAAGCTCTTCGCAATTTCAACTTGATCTCAGTACTTCCTACAATGGACCAATGAGTGTCAAAACTCCCAGGGGTAGGGCCTGCGTATATCAGATTCTTCCTATTCTTCTCAGCGAATTGGAGCAATGTTGTTTGTGTGGATTTATCAAACGGACACTTGAATATGTCGTGATGTTTGGAGCAAAGTGAAGCACCGTCATCATGATATGAATCAAAATTGATCCTTCTCCTTACCCTCCTTTCCCCAGGATATAGAGCTTGACTGCCATTCCTAGTCCTGCCAGTATATGACGCCTGAGAAACGACATTCAAAAATGGATAATTAAGATTGGGGTAATTAAGGGGAAAAAGTATTGCGAATCACATTGATATTGTAGACGAAATGTATTTAGGGAAAAAATTGAGAAGTGAAACAATATGTTGAACGATTGACTTTAAAAATCTCTCCATTCGACTTGGCAATATAGGGGCTGAATTGAGCATGCTTAATAAGGTGGATTAAGTACTCGCTAACAGTACAGTGTTTAATATGCACATTATTGGAATCTGACACAGATTTTCAACAAAAAGAATCTGACACAGATTTTCAACAAAAAGAATCTGACACAGATTTTCAACATAAAGAATCTGACACAGAATAAAGTTGGTGGCCAGAAGCAGGAGCACAAACAAACCTCTAATGCTTTAGGCCGCACATACAACAGTGAGTCAAGCCACTCTTTAGAGTATACTCTTTTTCCGTCAAGTTCCCACACTATGGCAGCGCCTTCTCGTCCTCCCTATAAAGACACAAAAGCATAATTAGAAACACTTGCTGCGTATAATTACCATATAATGCTAGGACAGAGAATAGGTACCATTGGTACAATGTGTGTAGCTATCTCATATTCCAAAGAAGTAAGAACTTGGCCGCCCATTCCATTGATCAATTGTTTGTACTGCATTGAATTCAACAAATTCATCAAATTTCATCAAAAGAACTATACCTTTTGAACTAGTTCTTTCTTGTCATGTAAAGGAAACAAATACAACTGAATTCATAATGTTTTTCCTGTATATAGCCCTAATTCATTCTTGGATTTTAATACACTTTGACATGTAGGTATCTTGGCTAAACTCGAACCTATAGTTGGTTGATCCATCCATACTCTGTAAAGAATCAAAAAAGGTACAGAACAGCTAGTCCGTGAAAAGAACTAGGCCTTTAACGCAACTAATTCATGAACTCAAACTATAGCGATGAACTGAACTAATTCATTCTTGAAGTGAAAGGAACTAGGCCTTAAACCGTTAAACGCAACTAACTCATGCTTGCCGCCTGTCGAAACACGATAATGTTGAAGCTTAAAATGCAGTTACCTCGGCCTTGAGCGGGGACCCGAATCCTGCTAAAATGAATCTCATGCTGGTCAATGGTTGGTGTTGGTTGTTGCGCGGGGTATCTGCGAATTTGGAACTGTTCCCGCCGCTGTAGAAACTGTCCCCGTGTTCTTTACTCGATTGGCCGTCGTATCTATGACTGCAGGTTGGGGGGCCGCGGTCGCTGGTGTACCCACCCCCTCCGCCGTAGAGGTGTCCGCCTCCGCTGTAGCGGTCCCTCGGATGGGCGCTGCGGCTGCGGCTGCCTTTGCCGTTGCCGTTGCCGCCCCCGCCCCCTGCGCCGTAACGGTCACCACCACCGCTGCGGTCGCCATCGACGAGTCCTCCCCGTCCGCTACCTCCTCCTCGCCGTCCTGATCCGTAGCGGTCCTGCGGGTGCGGGGAGCAGCTGCCGCGCCTTCCCCCTTCGGCGTGCCGATCCATCCGGGGGCCGCTGCCTTCCCCTGCGCCGTAGTGGTCACCCCCACCGGTGCGGTCCCTGGGGTGGCTGCGGTCGCCGTCGACGAGCCCTCCCCGTCCGCTACCTCCTCCTCGCCGTCCTGATCCGTAGCGGTCCTGCGGGTGCGGGGAGCAGCTGCCGCGCCTTCCCCCTTCGGCGTACCGATCCCTCCGGTGGCCGCTGCCGCTGCCGCCGCCTCCGCCTCCGCCTCCGCCTCCCCCTCCGCCGTAGCGGTCACCCGACATTGGAAATGGGGAATCGGGATCGAAACCCTAGCGGTGTACGAATTGGGGGCCGTATTATTGAGGAGGATACCGCTGAGAGAGATGCTCAGCCGTGGTCGAAGTAGACAAAAGGCTCCCGCTCAGGTGGGAAGGGGAATTTTGAACCCCCACCCCCCGCTCGCATCGGCGTAGACTTCACTGGACTACTGGAACCTACATGGGCCGGGGGGCCTCGACTTATCAGTTCCAGCCCAAGCCCATTTGGCTTTTCTTTCTTCTCTCTCTATAAGGCCAATTGAATTCCCTTCACTAATGGTTTTATATCCGTGTACCACACTACCGGATATCTCAACCCCTCACTCGGTGGTTTTGGAAGGCAGTTTCGCCGATGTGGCGCTTACATGGCGGAGTTAACCTGGTCTTCGTCCCACGTGTCGCTTATGTGGCATTATAATTAAAAATAAAATATGTGGGACCCATTTGTCATTCACACTAAAAAAATTATGGGACCCACTGACATGTGAGCTCTTCAATCCGTGTACATTCACATTAGTTCTCTAATCCTAATACAACTATATTATTTATTATTAGTATACTGTGAGAAATGATAATTTTTCATAATTGTTGTTTGCGGTAGAAATTGGTACTTAACAATTGTCGGAGGGTTAACTCCTCCACCAGGGAACAGTGAGGCCCCCCTTTTTTTGGTTTGGCCGGGGGCAGCGGGTGAGATCCGAGGTTCCTCGAGACAAAAGAGACACAATGGATTTATACAGGTTCGGGCCACTATGAAGCGTAATACCCTACTCCTGTGCTATGCTCCTTGAGTGAAGGATTACAAGATCTCCTTGTTGGAGTAAAATGTGGTGTTGATCATCCGGGGCTAGAGACTGCTCTAGAGCGTCCAATGGATCGCCCCGAATCCCCCCTCCCCCCTCACTAGGCCTGGACCTCCTTTTATACCTTAAGGGGTTACCACATGGGCCCAAAAACCTAGCTCTGGTGGAGAAGTGTTTTGCATTAAATGTTTGTCTTGTCTTTTGACTTGGGAAGCAAGCACACGTCATCTTGATGATGAGGCCTGTAAAATCTTACCGCCTGACACGAGGGGCGCCCATGTCAGCTGCTATTAATGGGTGGAGACTTCTGGGTCCCTGTTTGCATCGGGAAATGGAAACCCCAATTGACCAGGGCGGATGGACCAACTCTGGCCGGGATGAGAGGTTAAGACCTCTCATCATCATGACTAATGGGACAAGACAGGGTACACACCCCTTGACCCATGCAGTAGTACGTCTGACACCCTGGGTCCCGTCGGTCATTCGACCAGTTACAGACCAATTTAGCACGGGGTGCACGCCACATTAAATGCGGCGTGCCGCACCTGCTCAGGTCGCCATTAATGCGAGTAGGTGAGCGCTCGAAGGTGGCCACCTAACCCACCGCACATGGCGACCCGCTGAGGGGGTCGGGGGAGCCCGACCCCTAGTCACATGAGGGAGTGGCCTCCGCCCCACCTCGAGCCTGACTCCCCTCGGGGGAGGGCCACGTGGTATTGGGGGGCAGCCTCCTCCATCTAGTGTCTGGGAAGGAGTGGCCGCCGCCCTACCTCGGGCCTGACTCCCCTCGGGGGAGGGCCACGTGGTATTGGGGGGCAGCCTCCTCCATCCAGTGTCTGGGAAGGAGTGGCCGTTGCCCCACCTCGGGCCTGACTCCCCTCGGGGGAGAGCCACGTGGTATTGGGGGGCAGCCTCCTCCATCCAGTGTCTGGGAAGGAGTGGCCGCCGCCTCACCTCGGGCCTGACTCCTCTCGGGGGAGGGCCACGTGGTATTGGGGGGCAGCCTCCTCCATCCAGTGTCTGGGAAGGAGTGGCCGTCGCCCCACCTCGAGCCTGACTCCCCTCGGGGGAGGGCCACGTGGTATTGGGGGGCAGCCTCCTCCCTCTAGTCTTGAGACCCCCAGGCCCATATCACTGACAACGATCGTCAAAAGTGGTGGTGACGGTGCTGCGCGATGGCGACCCTAGCAATGGCTACAAGCGGCCGGAGTTGGTGGAAAAGGTGGTGGCGATGCGAGCGTCGTTGCTAGGGCGATTTAGGGCACGAGGAGCCACGGTGTTTGGGGAAAAAGGAGGAGGGGAGGCCAGGGATTGATTTTATGGACTCGGGGAGTTCGGATGTGGTTAGATAAGGAGCAAAACCATCGGCGGCGTGAAGAGGAGAGAGAGAGGGATGGCAAGATTAAAAACCGAATTCCGACTATCTCGCGGACACGGTGTGTGGGGCGTGAGTGGGGCACGAGGTAGGTGCGGAGCGCGCGGGTGGGCAGTTGCGCCTCCGGCTCCGTCAGCCAAAGGTAGGGGACAGTCCCGACAGGTGGGCCCCACCTGTCGGCGACCTAGGCAAGGAGAGGGCGCAAGCGCCAACTAGATCGTGGCCTCGGGCCGGCCCAACGGAAGGAGGGGGCCGCATGAAGCTGGCCGACAGTAGGAGTTGGGAAGAGTTGGGCCGGAAACGGCCCAAGGACCAAGGAGGGGAAAAAGAATTTGGATTTATTTAATTCCAATAATTGGTTTTGAATTATTAAAATTATTTCCTTTGCTCTCAAAATTTCACTAAAAATTCTGTTAGTCTATTTTAGCATGGGGAATTCAAGAAAAATTTCACCAAGCATTTCCCACTTATTAAATGCATTTATTAATTAAGGGTTTGCTCTAGGTTAACAAAGCAATTTCTTGAGGCATGTTCTTAAGTGATTTATGGTTAAGAGAAAATGGGGAACTTCATGGTGTGACAGTTTCTTAAACTATTAAACGGTGTGTGTTTTTTCGAAAGTTTTCTATAGGAAAGTTGGTTTAGAAAATCATATAATCCATTTTCAAGTTTATTTTAACTATTGCTTAATTAATCATGCACTAACCGATTACTTCGTTTTACACGCGGAGAGGTGGAGTTCTCACTTCCCAATATTACATGAGGAAGTATTGTGCTCGTGGACACGAACCTGCTCATTAGAAATGCCCAATATTACTACTCCCTCCGTCCCAAAATATAGACCATGTTTGGGGGAGCTTAAGATTCTGATAAACAGTTGGTGAGAAGCTAGGTGGTGAGAATCTGAAGAAGCTGGGAAACTCGCTTCTGGCTTCTAATTCATTTTCTGATTCTACAACTACAGCATCTCAGAATCTGGACCAAAAGCTGGACTGTTTGGGGGGGAGTTTTGTCGACGTTATTTTCTCCGCTTCGGCGGGAGGATCCTTCGACATGGAGTCGTCCTGGGTTGTAGCCACTGCGTTCTCGCTTCCGGTCATTGATGGACCAGCCGAGATCGGCAGGAAGACGATTTCGCCGACTTGAGTCCACACCAGCATTGTTGAAGTAGGAACTCCTTGGTTGAGGTTGGTGTTGACGTTGTTGTCGACGAAGCTGGATGACATAGTAGTAGAACCTTGAGCACCAAGTTCCCCTACCTGGCGCGCCACTGTCGACAGGGGATACCCATAGACCGGATATAGAGGGTACTGGGGTATGCTGGTACGAGAATCTACGTAGTACGACATCAAGCAGACAAAAAACAAAGATTATACTAGTTCAGGCCCCTTGATAGGTAATAGCCCTAATCCAGTTGATATGGGATTATATGATGGAAACCACAGATTACAAAGGGAATAGCAGAACTCGATGATACCGATGAGATCGTAATCGAACAGGTTCGATTAGATCTCCCTACGACTTGGCTCCTATAGGCTTCAACTTCGTAGGCTGTGGTGGATGTGTTGACTATGAGATTCAATGCCTTAGGTCCTCTCAGGGGGTCCCTTTTATATCGCAGGTTAACTGGTCTCCAAGTAGGACTCGGAAACATCGGACCCGGCACGATACAATGACGACACAGTTCTGTCCGAGTAGGACTCCTTCCATCTGTAAGCTCCGTGATGAATTTCCTTAACGCATGCCGAAAACGTCCGTACACGCGCGGGTATACCATATCGATATGTGACATGGTCGGAAACCCTGACAAGTTTCTGATTCTGGGAGAAGTTGCGGTAGCTAGAAGCTCTCCCAAACAGGCCCATAAGCATTTTTGGATTCTGACACGGTCTTCGAGATGCTACTTTGACCAGTAATATGTATTAAAATAAGACGTTTTAAATAAAAAGAATTGCGTATTATGATAGTTTGTTTAAACATAAATATAGTAATATCAATTTTATATGATTGATTTTTTTTTGTTTTTTTCTATTAATAGTTAAAGTTAAAAATGTTTGACTTGTCACTGTATTAAAAATGCTTATATATTTTGATATTGAGGGAGTATTTTTTTAAAGAACGCTACTAGATATAACCCTAAGGTGGCTGAAGGTGGGCCCGTGTAGGCGTGGTAGTACTAGTATATATGAGTCGGATCACCGTGCGACGAGACGACCGGAACCGACTCAGATCAGTTGCGAATTGGCCGCCCTGTCCGTTTCTATTTCGGATTTCCTGTACGTACCTTTATATAATGGGTTTGGTCGATCGGGGCGGCCAGCTCGAACGTACGCCCTTCAATTCAGCGCCATAACTGATCGATCGAGATCATGTCGTCTAAGCGGAAGCGGCAGGACAGAGATGAGTACGACAGATGCGGTGGCGTCAAGACGGCGCCGGCGCCGGAGAAGAGGAGGAAGCACCTCTATCTGATGCTGGATGACCGTGACAATGCGTACCGCATGCACAAGATCGATGTGGACGCCTTGGCCGATTCCGAGGAGGACGACATGCTGCTCCTCCCTGAGCCAGCACTCCTCCAGTTCGGAACGGATCGTCACAGCGGCATGTGCTTCTTCGCCTTGGGCAGCAGCATCTTCGCCACCCGACCTCCCCACACGCCCGCGCTCGTCTACGACACGGACACCGGTGGCCTCACCGTCGGCCCTCCCCTCCCCAACAAGCTCTGCGGCGGGCCGAACATCACCATGGCCATGGCCGACAACAAGACCATGTACGCCTTGTACGACTACGACACCAACTACTTGAACCCGCACCCCATGGAGGCCATGTCGTGGGAAGCGGTGCCATGCACCGAGCGCCATCTTCCGCGAGTCAAGGAATGGACATGGAAATCCGTGCCGTCGCAGCCGCCGTACGGCAGGTTGGACGAGATCGTGTCGTACGCCGTGCACCCGGACCAACGCACCTTCTTCGTCTCCGTCAAGGAGGCCTTCTGCAGCAGAAGCGATGGTGGCAACAAGGGGACCTTCTCCTTCGACACCAAGCACTGCGAGTGGAGGTGGCACGGCGACTGGATGCTGCCATTCGAGAGGCAAGGCTACTACGACGCCGAGCTGGACGCGTGGGTGGGTCTCCGCCTCACCGATGGCCGCGTCTGCGCCTGCAGAGTCGCCTCCCGCAGCAGCAGCGCCCCGCCGGAGTGGAAGCTGCTCCAGGAGAAGCTGTTTTGCAAGGATCCACAGGAGAGGCAGCTGATGGCGTTGTCAGGAATAAGGCCCAGCCTTGCGTACATGCAGGGCAGCGGCAGGTTCTGCCTCCTCGAGTGCGTGCTGCGAGAGGGAGTCGACTGGAAGCACGCCTTCGGCGACGATGCCCATGGCTGCCTGCTCCGCCTCACCATATTCGGCCTCAAGTACGACCACCAGGGGGAACTGCACACTTCCATCCACCGCACCAATGCCTCCTACATTGTCTCCAAGCATAACTCCTCCTTTTCTCCTGTAGCATTCTGGATGTAGCACTAGTTATTCTTTGCTCCCCACCTAGTAGCTTCTATTCTGTTTAACAACCACTTGTTAAATAAATTCAACACACAAAGAAAGAAAGGTGATTATTAAGTACTGTATATGCTTGACAATTAATTTGATTCCAGCAAAGTACATTAATTCATCCATTACAAAGAGCCTTCTGGTATACTAGCTCAAATAAAAAGTCACACACAGCATTAGGCATGCCCATTCCTACACAATACACACTAGAGGATACAATCCAAAACTACAAGCTCCAAGTTATGTGAGCTATTTCCTCAAGAATATTAAAAGAAAAAAAAATCCATCAGAGTTGTGCGCAGACGATAAACCGGTTAGCAGCAGCCAGACATAGTTTATACCAGGCTGAGGATGCAGTTAGTTTCAGAAAATAATAATTCAATCCAGCAACTTATTATTCCATCTTTAGTTTTTACACTCAACATCAACCTTGTCCAGAATCCCCTGCTCTGTTTCACCTGCACGCTGTAGAGTGGCTTGATCTTTTACCCTCCATTGCGTCTTTCTTTTTTCGACACTCCAAACAAAGATATGGACCTCCCCAGGGGGCGCATGGGGAAGAGCAGTAACTGCCTCCTTTCTCAGTCATCATACTTTCAAATGGTTCTTGGTCCACCTGGCAGATAGCACATCGAAGAGGTGCCGAGGTTGCTTTCAAGGACAAATTCCTACCCAACCTGCAAGACCAAGGACTGGTTGTTAATGACCACCTCATATGAGCAAAAAATACAAGTAATTTGAGTTATATAATCAGAAGTAGATAACTAGGCACTGGCGTAGCTTGAGTAAGAACTGTGAAATTTTCAGAAGACCTTCAGAGCACTCAAATCCTTATCACCACTAAAAAATGTAGTTTGTTTTCCAGGCTTCAATGAGAATTATCTATGCATAAGACAAACCAAAATATAGGACGGTGTACCACCTCCAGGACTAATTTCAGATGTAGGTGCTGAAAGAGTTTGGATACAACGCGCAGGTGTATTGATCTCATCCAGTTTACATATATACATGCCGGTACAGCTCAAGAGTGCCAACGGAATCCTAATAAAGTGGATCGTAGACTGAGCACAGCGGAAGAATAGGTCAGAAAGAAACTGTAATCTAGCCTATCCTTATCTACATGATCAGCCATCTTGACACCCCCCCGCAGTTGGTGCGTCGTCGACGATGCACAAACTGGATCGGAAATCTTCAAACAGCGCTGTGGGCAATCCCTTCGTCATGATATCGGCGAGCTGTTGTCGAGTCGGAATGTGCACGACGCGGATGTCCCCAACGGCCACCTTTTCCCAGACGAAGTGGACATCCAGCTCCACATGTTTAGCACGACCATGATGAACTGGATTCTTGGACAGGTAAACGGCGGAGATGTTGTCGCAGTACACAAGCATGGCTTTGTCGAGCTTGACGTGAAGTTTGCCGAGAAGGTGATGGAGCCAACAACATTCAGCAGCCGCGTTCGCCACACCCCGGTACTCAGCCTCGGCACTGGAGCGAGACACGATGGACTGTCGTTTGGAGGACCACGACACCAAAGAGTCGCCGAAGAAGACGCAGAAGCCGGACGTCGAGCGGCGTGTGTCGGGGCAGCCGGCCCAGTCCGCATCGGAGTACGCGGTGAGCGATGGTGTAGAAGAACGCCGGAGTTGCAGACCTTTGTGTGTCGTGCCACGAACATAACGGAGGATCCGCTTTACAAGTGTCCAGTGCACGTCCCGCGGCGAGTGCATGTGAAGGCAAACCTGTTGCACAGCGTAAGACAAATCCGGCCGTGTGAGAGTGAGGTACTGGAGTGCCCCGACGATGCTACGATAGAACGTCGGATCACTGTAGGGCTGCCCTGTCGTACTGGAGACCTTGGCCTTCGTGTCGACAGGTGTCGGCGCCGGCTTACAGTCTGCCAGGCTGGCACGATCAAGTACGTTGCCGGCGTACTGCTCCTGTGAAAGGAAGAAGCCATCGGCCGTGCGGCGCACTTGGATGCCGAGAAAGAAGTGCACCGGACCTAAGTCCATCGCGAACTCAACTCGGAGCTGGTTGATGATGTGCTGGAGAAGACGTTGTGACGAGGCGGCGAGACAATGCCATGTGCGGCGAGGAACGAGCAAAAGATGGTGTTGTCGAACTCACGTCCGTTGTCCGTCTGAAACGCCAAGATCGGCCGTCCGAATTGCGCCCGAACGAATGCATGGAAGGTGAGGAGCGTGGGCACGACGTCGGACTTGCGACGCAGTGGGAATGTCCATACGTAGTGAGAGTAGTCATCAAGTATAACGAGATAGTACTGAAAAACCAGAACAGCTCAACACAGGCGAAGTCCATATATCACAGTGCAAAAGGGAGAAGAGAAAAGGAGAAACAGTCGAGGATGCAGTGAACGGGAGGCGAACATGTTTTCCAAGACGACATGAGTTGCAATTGTGAGGAGAACTCGGTTTACAACTAAAATTAAAGTTATTCAAAATGCGAGAGAGCGCCGGCCGGCCAGGATGCCCCAAGCGATCGTGCCAGAGGTCGACGGAGGCATGGAAGCCAGAAACAAGTGGCGTGGCAGCGGAACGCAGCGGATAGAGATCGCCAGGGCTGTCACTGCGGAGAAGAACCGTCTTGCTGCGAAGATCCTTGATGGAGAAACCGAGAGGGTCAAATTCAACAGAGACAGAATTATCGCGAGTAAGACGACAAACAGAAATCAAATTTTTAATCAAAGATGGAGAAAAAAGAACGTCGCGAAGATAGAGAGGGGAGGAAGAAGAAGTGGGGACGGTGGCCGTGCCCATGCACTGCACGGGTAAAGAGGCGCCGTTGCCGACGATGATACGAGAAGTAGAGGGGGCAGTGGAGGAGAGCATACCGGAGTTGCCAACCATGTGAGTGGAGGCCCCAGTGTCGAAAACCCAATCCGTGGCGCTCGGCGGAGTCGACTGTAGAGACAGGCCGGTGAGAGCCTGGTAGAGCGCCGGCGGAAGCGTGCCGGCCGGAGCCTGCTGCACCACCATGGACTGCTGCGGGGCGGCACCAGGGCGAGAGCCGAGAATGCCAGGAGCTGACGAGGTGAGAGGGAACCACGCGATGGGCCAGGCCTGGACAACGCCGGTCCATGGGTTGACCCAGGATGCCATGGGCGCACTGGAGTTGCCGGAGGGGCCAGAGTTGCCGGAGGTGCCGTCGGCGCGACCAGCCTGCTTCTTGCGTTTGTAGGGGCGACCGTTGCCGCCAGTGCCGCCATTGCTGCCAGTGGCGCCGGTGGCAGGTGGAGCAGATGCGGGCGTGGAGGATCCGACGGCGGGCGCGTTGGAGGAGGCGCCGGCGGATCGCGAGGCAGCAAGCAGGGCGGTGGTCGCGGCCTTCTGCGCGCGATTGGCGATCCAGACCTCCTCTTGGAGGAGGAAGGACCGTGCTTGGAGGAACGTCATGGGCGGCCGTGCCGCGGAGATGGTGGAGACGCAGTGGGCAAACTTGTCGTTCAGCCCGCTCAGGAGGTTGACAACGAGATCCTGATTCGTGAGAGGCGAGCCAACGTCGCGCAACGTGTCTGCCAGTACCTTGATCTTGCCGCAGTACTCAGTGATGGTCATGTCAGCCTGGTGGAGAGCGTGGAACGCCTGCCGGGTCTGGACAGTGCGCTGGACGACGTTGTCAAGAAACTGGGAGCTGATGGCGTTCCAGGCGGTGTAAGCGTCGTCGTCCGGCTGGATCACAGCGGAGAGGAGGTCGGGGGAGAGTGTGGCGTAAAGCCATGAGACGATGCAGGTGTCGATCTGCGTCCACTCGGCGTCGTCGAGCTTGAGGCGGGCGTTAGTCGTGCTGTCGATGTGATCGAGGAGGCCGAACTTGCGGAAAGCAATGGTGAAGAAGGTGCGCCAGGTGCCAAAGGTGGAGTCGCCGAGATCAAGGATCACGGGAACATGGGACTTGATGTGAATGAGTTGCGCTGTCGCCGCCGAGATGGCCACAGAGCCTGCCGCGAAGGGGTTGACATCGTCGGAGGAGACAGAGCTCGACGCCATAGAGAAGAAAGAATGGAGAAGCAGCGGAAGATGATTAGGATCGAGAAGAGTCTGATACCATGAAAGAGTTTGGATACAACGCGCAGGTGTATTGATCTCATCCAGTTTACATATATACATGCCGGTACAGCTCAAGAGTGCCAACGGAATCCTAATAAAGTGGATCGTAGACTGAGCACAGCGGAAGAATAGGTCAGAAAGAAACTGTAATCTAGCCTATCCTTATCTACATGATCAGCCATCTTGACAGGTGCAAAATGCGAAAATAATAAGGGTAAAAAAAATTGGTTGGTCTTCTGTGACCAGCACAGCTAACAGAACGGCAAAATGCATTTTTCTTTAACATGTTCAAATCAGCTACTCAGTTATAACCTATAAATTATAAACAGAATGTGGTATTACAAAAAGAATATGGCGCACAATCTGTTCTCAAGTTTGACAGAAGTGATGTGATAGTGTCAACAATAGAACAATAGTGTAAATAGAAGCACAACTCAGTGTCTTGGGGTACCATTATAGATGGATCAATAAGAAATGCTAAACTAAATCAGTACTGCACTGGTTTCTCAGACCCAAATTCCAGATTTAAAAATAGTAAGTAAAATTAAAATGCACAGTTGAAATCTGAAACTATAAGAGGACAATGCAGGTGGTACAAAGTTTCATGAGTTCTCATACATGTGAATGATGGTCAAAAGTGTCAATAGAAACTTGATTAAAAAAGGACATATAACTACATAAGCCCATGAGAGATAAAACATGCCTCCAACTGATCAAGAAAACATGGTAATCTTACCATGCCATACTAAAGATGGTCAAAAAATCATTGGTTTAAAATACCTTAACAAATAATAAAACTTACTGAACTATGAGGATGGAATTAACTAACGAGTACATGATGGTATTGATGGATCATAGAAAAAGTAATTAGAGCCTACCTTTCTTCCAACATTGCAGAGCCTTCTTCAAATAATTCCTCCACAGAGCCAAAAGAGGCAGACTTGCCTCCAAGCTTTCCAATTGAACTGTGTGACCTTCTACCGAAAAGAAGAGACTTGAACTTGCTCTGGTTTCTCTTTGGGGACAACTGCGGCGATGTCAAACGATAATCGGAAGGGATGATATCAACCACCACACAAGTGGTGTCATCTTTCAGCCCACTTTTTTTGAGAGCTTGCTGCATGAGTAAACGTAAAAATGGATATTAAAGTTTGTAATTGAGTCCACCATGCCAAATACTACGAGCAACAATGACATGTATAAGTACTACAGGCTACAGCCACATGCAGAATTACCTTAACCACAAGCTTTGCAGCCAGTTCTGCAGGTAAACCTCGGCATGCCTTTGCTGCTGCTTCAGAGGGTAGTGCATCCCATATACCATCTGATGCGATGATCAACCTTCCTCCAATGTTTGAGAGCTGCAATTACCGAGTAAGAAAGTGACAACCTTGAAAAAGAAATTATACTACAATACACCATAGAAAAAGAAGCTAGAAATTGCATCCACTTTCTAATAGCTACCCACCTTCACTTGCTTCACATGTGGAATCGGCACAATGAACTCCCCGACATCCATGTCCCCGATAGATCTTGAAAGGCACAGGCCACCTGGCCAGCACCGGAGAGGACCAACCTAGAACAAAGCATCAAACAACAACAATGCATCACAAAACAGAACATGGCCGACTGGAAACAAAGCTTCACATAGCAATGCATCGCAAAAGCGAAGCCTCTCTTTTTTTCAATCTGGCCATCATCTACCAAACTGCGGGGCGAATTGGTACCTCCTGGCCGCCGAAGAGATTGAGGCGGCCGACCTCCCCACCGCTGGCGGTAACCCGCTCCCGCTCCTCGGCATTCTCTTCCAGGCGGTGGTCGACGGTGAGCAGCTGCACCTCACCACCCTGCGTGTCCAGGATGCACCGCGAGTCCCCGACTGACGCCACCGTGACCGTGAATCCATCGACGACCACCAGCGTTGCGGTGGTCCCCGACACCTCCCCTGACCAGTAGATGATGTATTAGTTGCGGGGATCTCAAGAGGCGTCAGTCGTGAGCAAACGATCCGTCCGGGCTCACCCTTGCGCTGGAAGTCGATGTCGGCCTTGACGAAGCCGGCGACGAGCGCCCGCGGCAGCGCCTGTAGCCAGTCGTCGCGGCCGATGTCCGGCGGCAGCGCGCTCATGACGTGCTCGAGCAAATGCTCCTTGCTGTAGACCGCCGCCGAGACCCCGTTGTGGCCGTCGAACACCTGAGGCGAAGCAAGCAAGCAAAGACGGACGGATCCAGCGCGTGACATGATGAGGAGGAGTAGTGAATGAATGAATGAATAAAATGGAGTAGTAGATCAAGGAAGAGGAAGGATACCGCGAAGACGGAGAAGGCGGTGGAGGTGTCCCCGGGGACGCGGAGGCAGTCGGGCTTGACGAGGAAGTAGTCCTCGCCGCGCTTGGCGAAGCCGGCGTGGCCGTAGCGGAGGGAGGGGCGCTCGGAGCCCCCGGCGCGGAGCTCGCGGCCGATGAGAGTGGCGAGTGGCAGCGCCGGCGGCAGCCGCCTCTCCTTAGCAATACCAGCCATCACGTCGTCGCGTCGCACCTAGCTAGCTAGCTAGAGCTCTAGCTCCCCCCAACGCCTAAAGGAGGAGGAGGGCAGCATTTCTGGCCGGCGCCGGAGAATGAGACGGAGAGGTGGGATTCGGATCTGGGATTGAGTGGCTGGGTGGGATCAAGGAGAATGAAATTGGGGATTTGGGAGTAGTAGTCTTGTGTTGTGTTGGGGACACAGCCTGTGCCTGCCTGCCTGCCTGTGATGTGCAGGAGTGAGAGAGTCGATAGAGAGGAACAGCGCAGGACAAGCAGGGGCAGGTATAATTAGGAAGCTTGTCATATGAGGTGGATTCATTAACTACCAACTTAGGGCCTGTTCACTTTGTTGCTAAAAAAAATCATACCAAAATTTTGTCATAGTTACCAAAATTTTGGCAACTTACCAAAATTTTTGACAAGATTTCTTATATAGTTATCAAAATTTGATAGCAAACTAAATGTAGCCACTTTTTTAGCAACATTACCAAAATTTAGTAAAGTTGAAAATGGCATCAAAGTGAACAGGCCCTTGGACATATATTTAGATTCGTATCTAGAATTGAGTTTTTTTATCGAAGGAGGGTAAGTACTAGTAAATACATACTATAGTGTTTCTTGGTATTTCTAGGTTCTTTAACAATACTGGAATACTAAAAAATATTATCCGTATTAAGTATCCACCAACGTGTATGATTTCAACCTATATACTTTACGTGCTTCATTTCTCTTCGCTCTACTTCTCCCCGTCCTCCCTACCTCCTCATCTATCTCCCTTCTCTTTTAACGTGTCTCCTGGCAGATATGGACTTGGACATTCTAGTGGGTCCGGGGAAACGGATCGAGAAATCTATGAGATAGATGATGAGGGAGCTCATGAGCGCCATAGCAACGGGTGGCCATGGGTGGACCAAATCGATGTTGATGCCAGCGTGACGGTCAGAGGTGGGAGAGGGTTGCGAGTGAGGGATGAAATAAGGGATTTGCTACGCCTCTTTCCTTGACCATGATGCGGAGTAGGCGAGCTGCCACGACGATCTCGTCTTTGTCCTTGGCAACTTTGAGTAAAGCTACGGTGATGAGCCTATCCTCCCTGTTGCGTTCTTTCCAACCATTATTATTTTATCTTAAGCTCGACCACTCTACCGTAGAAAAGGGAAGGAAGGAGGGCTTGCTGGAGAAGGGTCCAGCCTTGCTAGGAAGTAGTCATCGAACATGGCTGAATAGGGGGAAGGAGGATAGAGAGAGGGGATTTACGAGAAATGGAAAAGGGGATTGACACTTTGCACCGGTGAGCGCAACCATTTTTTGGCTTGGTACCTATGTGGAATTATGTTTACTATCTTGGTACCAGTCTTGATACCCATAGATATCATATCTGGTACCTGTCGAGGATTTATATCCCAACTACAGTATTTGTAAAGTATATGTATCGCTGGAACCAGAGTATTCGCAAGATTAAGATAAAAAAGATGAGAGACAAGAATTTTTATACATGTTCGGACCTCTTATATAACTGGTATGCCGAAACCAATGTTACCTTTAAATACCTTAATGTATTTTTATAGGATTGAAATACATGTTTAAGGTATTTTTATAGGATTCAATCTTTTATTTTAAATACTTCTTAAGGTATTTTTATAGGATTAAAATTCTCTGAATTTTCTATGTTTTTAGTACAAATCGAAGTGGCCTCAAAGGAAAGCAAAATGATTAATTAAGTAGTAGTACTGGACTAGGAGTGGTGAATTTGCTTGAATTGTGGGGTTCTGTCCAGGGCCAGGCCATATATATGTGGTTGCACTTTACAGGCATAATTTCATGATCAATAATAGATGGAGAAAGGAGTTCTATCCCGTTTGTTACTCTACTCTACTACTAGTAGCAATTGGCAATGCAATGTCAGTTGAGCATCCCAAGTTAATGGCGAGGCTAATACTAGCTCTACTGGAGGAGTACATATTAGTCCGACCCGCTTGTTTTTATTCGGTTTATATATATCGATATGTTGGCCGAGTTTAGTTTCAAAATTTTTCTTCAAACTTTTAATTTTTTCATCACATCAAAACTTTCTTACACACATAAGCTTTTAATTTTTCTGCCACATCATTCCAATTTCAACCAAAACTTCTAATTTTGATATTTTGATGTGAATTAAACACACCCGTGGTGTGACTAGAGAGAGTGTGTAGCAGTGGTGAAATATAATTTGTTTTGTGTGGGCCAGTGGGACTGGGGCTGGTAAAAACATGGATGGATCGGGTCGGGGAGGACAATCAATCAATTATTATCATCATCGATATTATGTAGGAGTAGCAAAAAAGAGATTGAGAGACAGGCCGGCAGACCGACCTCCAAATTGAAAAAGGCGATGGAAAAGGTGCAGAGGGCGAACTGGAAAGCAAAGCAAGGAAATCGCAGCCTATTGAGAGAGCTTTCGTTTATTTATTTTTTAGCAAGAAAAAGAAATTTGGAGAGGTGGGACGCGTCAATTAGGTGGGAGCTAGGAAGGACGGCAGAATCATTCCCCTTCCTCTACTCCTACCTGCTGCCTGGAGTATGGTCATGTACACACAACGCCGTTATTAGTTTGGCTAGCTAATGACCCTCATCGGACGAAGAAAAGAAAAGAAATATAGTATCTGCCAATCCAACTCATGTCAGTTAGTTAGAGGAGGATCAGAATCTTATCTGTCAGTTAAGAGGGATCAGTTGATGGAGATATATGTATATGTATGTATGCATGTAGTAGTAGTATATATGCTGGATACAGCCGGCCGCCCGTCTGATCGATGAGATTAAGAAACATAACTGTCCGTATACATTCCTCCCAGCCCTATCTACTGAAAACTCACGATGCTATAGTAGCAAGATGATATGAAGAACAGCTTATTAAGCCCTTTTAAATTGGAGGATTGCTATAGGAATTCTGTAGAATTCAATTTAATTTTCAAAGGACTTTTTTTTCATATGAAACTCTTTGATTCATAAGAAAGTATAGGAAATTTTTCATATGATTGTATTCCTATAACTCAATCTCATAGGAAAATAAGTAAGAGGACTAATTTCTTGGAAACTTTTCTTTGCTCTGTTGTTTGCTATGGTGCTATTAATTAAAGGGACCCTCTTCATATTTCATGTGTGTTTTATTTCTCCAGAATGAGGGAAACATGGCACTTTAAATCCTGTATTTTTTTTCCTCTCCTTCGCTTGAAAGGACCCTTAGCAGGCAACAGATAGAGCAATCAAGTTTTTATGCTGCAATATATACGCCATTCTAGTAGGCAGCTGTCTTTCTCCAGCCTCCAGCCTGCAGCCTTGTGCTGACGGTGCCAAAGCCAACAACGCACTCACTACGCGTTACCAACTAATTCTAAGTTCTCGTCCAAATCTAGTTAGGACGAACCAAAGAAAGAGGAGGAGGATTTTGTTGTTGGACAACCTACCTACATACATGTATTATAGTACTAATAGTGGAGTACTCCTATATGCAACATGAGACGGACAAATTAATCGGTTGGAGACAAGCAAAAGCAAGCGTCGTCGTGGCGCCGCGCTCTTCCTCTTCGATCGATGGATCGATCGTTCATTGTGTGTGTCCTCCTCCACCTAGCTTTTTTCATTCCACGCGCCCCGGCTGTTGCCCGTGCCTGATCATAGTGAGGTTGTGAGCTCGGAATCGTCCATTTATTAGCAGTTCAGAAAGCTATAGCTAATTAAAACCTGATCATCAAAATTGACACAACAGTAATTAATTCTTCAGATGTACCGAATGTTCCAATTAATTGGCGATGTTTATACATACAGAGCCTTAATTACCTAATGAGTAAAGTCCATCATCGGTCCCTAAACTTGTACCGCTGTGTCATCCCGGTCCCTAAACTCGCAAATCGACCCGTTCAGGTCCTCATACTTGTTCGACTGTATCATCCCGGTCGCTAAACTTGCTTATCACTCGTTTAGGTCCTCCAACTTGTTCAGTTGTGTCACCCCGGTCCCTAAACTTGGATTTGAATATCATCTGGGTCAAATAGGACGGTCTAAAGACTTTATATTTAAAAATAATTCATAACTTTTTCATGTGAACTCTAATGAAGACAAACTTAATATCAAACTTGTAGCCCTCGACGCGATCTACAACTTTGTGGTTGAATTTTTTTTTATTTTAAGTCATTTTTTTTATCCCAAAATGTAATTTTAAAATTAAAATTTCAAAATCTATAAACATGCAACAATATTTTGGGACCCTAAACAGTTTTAATTCAAAAACTTTTCAACTACAAAGTTGTAAGTCGTGTCGAGGGCTACAATTTTGACATAAAGTTTGTCTTCATTAGAGTTCATATGAAAAAGTTATGAATTATTTTTTGATATAAAATTTTAGACCGTCCTATTTAGGGACCGGGGTGACACAACTGAACAAGTTGGAGGACCTAAACGAGTGATCTATAAGTTTAGAGACCGGGATGACACAGTCGAATAAGTTTGAGGACCTGAATGGTCAATTTACGAGTTTAGGGATCAGCATGACACAACGGTACAAGTTTAGGGACAGGTGATGTAATTTACTCTTACCTAATCAACTGACATCATCGTTGCTAGTACTACTTCCGACTTTTTTGTTGCTCCTCCTAGCTCGTGCATGGCATCAAACGAAACCAGCGTTTAATTTGAGTTCCAAAGGAAACCTCCTGCAATATACTCCTACAATACTACTCCCTCCTTTTATACTTGATGAAGGCTGAGTTTAGTTCCAAACTTTTTCTTCAAACTTTTAACTTTTTCATCACATCGAAGCTTTTTTACACACACAAACTTTCAACTTTTCCATCACATCGTTTTAATTTTAACCAAACTTTCAATTTTGGCATGATGTAAACACACCCGAACTAACCAACGTAAAAAACGGAAAATGCATTTCTTTAATCCACCATGCATGCCTTAGGAGTATCTCTGGACATTACCCTCGTCTTCCCGGCCGTCAATCAATAGGGAAATATTGAACCTAACCTCATGTTCCTAACGAGACTTGAATCCTGACGAAGTTGTTGGGGCTGTTTGGTTCCCAGCCACATTTTACCATTACTTGCCAACAAAAATTATCACACCTTGACTAAGGTGAGGTGATCAAATTGTTAGCCACAACTTACTAAGCCTAAGGGAATCTTGCCACACTTTTTTGAGCCATTGACACGTGGGACCCAATTTGTTGGAGGGGAATCTTGTCACAACTGTGGCTACAACCAAACACCTGTCAAATTTGCCTAACCTTAGGCGTGACAAACTATGGCAAAGTGTGGCTTGCAACCAAACACACCCTTTCTCTAGAGTTAGGCAATGCAATACCCTTTCTCTAGAGTTCATCAGACCAGTCAAAGATGCTTAGTTTCAGACCGCGGACCAACGTCCCGGCCATATCGGCCCAATTTTGTCTCCGGATCGACCAAATCAAGCAAGGCCCAGATGAAAGAAAAGGATCGGGGATGTTGAGCCCGTTTCAATTTACCCAGCCTATTAGCTAGCCAATAATGAGTTTCCCTTTTATCCTTATGAAAACTACTCACTCCGTCCTAAATATTTAACGCCGTTGAGTTTTTAAATATATTTGACCGTTTATTTTATTCAAAAATTTTTGCGAAATATGTAAAACTATATGTATATATAAAAGTATATTTAACAATGAATCAAATGATAGGAAAATAATTAATAATTACTTAATTTTTTTTAATAAGACGAACGGTCAAATATGTTTAAAAAAGTCAACGGCGTCAAACATTTAGGGACGAAGGGAGTATTATGCCGGTGTAGCTATGGAAGACAAATTTTGAGCCATTCTTTCTAAGAAAAAACTGCATACCATTATAGTATGGGTGTTTCGCTATAGAGAAAAAAACAGAAAGACTGGGTGGCATTTTCTGAACTAAAAAAATTGGGTGCCGTATCTAAAACCGGGCGACCTCTTTTCGTGTGGCATATTATTATATTTTACCGGAGAAAGAACATTATAAATCCTCCTTTAGGAACTGATGAAATTTGTGTAATTTCCACAAGAATTAAATTAATTCCTGTAAGAAATACGGTATCTTGTACTACCTTTGTTTTTTAATAGATAACGCCGTTAACTTTTTCTCACATGTTTGACCATTCGTCTTATTTAAAAAATTTAGGTAATTATAATTTATTTTGTTATGAGTTGTTTTATTACTCATAGTATTTTAAGTGTGATTTATATCTTATACAATTGCATAAAATTTTTGAATAAAACGAATGGTTAAACATGTGAGAAAAAGTTAACGGCGTCATCTATTAAAAAACGGAGGAGGGAGTACGTAGTTGTACCACTAGAATTGATGCTTTGAGAAAAGACGTACTTGACGACGGAGAAACCATGTGCTCTAATTACGCATTAACCACCATACGGAGTCGGACCAACGGTTGTAGTACTGTAGAACGGCGGTTTACTATTATTGCGTGCCATCAACAGCCCACAGGCCAACTCCCCGAGCCCAATTTAACCGCACGGGCCCACCTGGTTGTGACCCGACAGAGAAACGCCGGGCCCACGGGCAGTCTCGTTAAAAACCGCTTTGCTTTTTTCCTTTTCTTGCTCTCGCCGTCACCCTCACCCACATCACAAGAGCGCTTCGCTTCTTCTCCTCTTCCGCATCGCATCTCATCTCCTTCCTCCAACCCAACCCAACCCACCGTACTAGTATTGACTTTGGTTTATTTTGCCCTCCCTTCCATTGATTCTACTCCTACTCCTACTACTTTTTTTTTTGTTTTTGTGTTTTTGTTTGCTTCTACTAGACTACTACTACTCCACTCGTCTTTGCTTGCCTTTTGTCACCCACTGTTTAACCTCAATTCTCGTGCTCTGGGAGAGAGTCTACTACTAGGTGAGATGAGTTTTTATTTTTCTTTTCTCCCCAAAATGGAATTTGTTTTTGTTTTTTTTTGGGGGAAGCAATTCGGCCAATTGGCTTGGCGGATTTCGATTTGGTGATAGGGTTCCATGGTTGCTGCGGCCTGATTCGAATTCCTGCTTGTTTTTCGTGTGTAGGGATGGGCACCGGCGGCGGCAGGGTCGCCCTCGACGGCGGCGGCCGGCGCCGGAGGAAGCTGGACGAAGAGGATGATGAGGAGTATGTGGCGGACGACGACGAGGAGGAAGACGAAGACGAAGACGAGGAGGAGTACCAACAGGCCGCCGCCCCCTCCGACGACGGCGAGGAGGGGGGCGACGACGAAGCGGAGCCGGAGGACGAATCTGATGCGGATTTCGTCGGGGACGAGGAGGAGGAGGAGGAGGACCTCGAAGACGAAGATGATTTGGAGGAGGTCAAGGCGCCGCGCCCCAAGCGCCCGCCCAAGGGGAAGCCGCCGCCGAGATCTCGCCGTCGGAGGCAAAAGGACGACGACGATGACTACGAAGAGGAGGAGGAGGAGGACGCCGACTTCGATCCGGACGTGGACGAAGACGACGAGGAAGAGGTAGATGAAGATGAAGAGGAATTTGAGCAAGATGACGACGATTCCGATGATTTTGCCCCGATTCGCGTCAGAAAGACCAGCACCAAGAACCACGTGGCCAAGCGGAAGCCACCACCCGGCCGTAAGAAGAAGAAGAGGAAACCTTCTAGGGTTTCTAAGGCAAAGCCTAAGAAGCCCACCTCAGGGCGCCGCCGGAGGAAGCGATGGGCCACCGATGACGACGAGGAAGAAGAGGACGATGCGGATTTCATCGTGGAGGACGATCAGGAAGAAGAGGAGGACGACCACCGCCCAAAGAAGAAGGCCAAGGCTGCTAGGAAGACCAGGGATGTCACGCCGGAGCCGGATGTCGAGGCAAGCGCATGGCCGGCCGTCGAATCAGACACTTCAGAATTCGAATTCGTGACATCTGATGAAGAAGCTGCTGACAAGGAAGCACCAGCCGCTGAACCAGCAAAAACCAAGGGGAAGAAGGGCAGGAAGAGGTGGGGATCTGGGTCAGAGTCATCATCTGATTCTGATTATGTCATATCAGAGCAGGAACTGAAGGATCTGGAAGTCTCCATGCCTCCAGATGCAGCTCTGCAATCACCTGCAACCCTGCCGCGCCGGACCTTTCTTTCAAGGAGGGTGGGGGAGAAGGGGAAAGAGCCTGAAGAGGCTTGGAAACAGACATGTGGGATATGCCTCTCGGAAGAACAGAGAGCCACGATACAGGGTGTGCTTAATTGCTGCGCACATTACTTCTGCTTCGCTTGCATCATGGAGTGGTCAAAGGTGGAGTCCAGGTGCCCATTGTGCAAACGCCGATTCACAACAATTACCAAGTCATCAATGGCAGATCTAGGGCTTGGATCAAGGAAAGCTGTCATTAGGGTAGAAAAACGTGATCAGGTAATGGCCTCCTTGTCTTATTGCTATCTATTTTCTTTTGCGAGGATTATTGCTATTGAATTTAATATTTGCAACGTATCAAAACCGTTATCCGTTGTATGGCACTTGCATGGAAACTCATCTATTTGTCAGTGTCCTCTAACTAGTTATTGCAAGAGACATGACTATCTGACCCCATGTGAAATACCCTGTGGCTGTATGCTCTTACATTTGGCTGTTATTTTCAGCAGTAAGTGTTCTAGTTTCTACCTGTGACACATCACACATCCAAAATTTTCCTTTATAGATAAAGGTTTCAGCAGACTTAGCATGTGATTTTAGGGATAACAGATCCATAACTTTTAGTTTGCTATTTTGAATCAGAGTTCAGTAATGTAAGTTGCTGACTGTCATAGATTTATGCCCATATAAATATCTTGCCGTAGCTTTTCTGGTGCACACATATATCTGTTGGGAGTAAATAAAAGGTAGCCTTAATTAGCTTTCACATTAAGCTCTCATGATCAGCAACCTTTTGATTGTTATGGCTCCATGTTTAGCCTTAGAATTACTGACATCCAGAAAAATGGTAACTATATAAGGTTGGGGGCAGTTGCACGTTGTCATATTGTTACATTCTGTTGAATCGCCAAATGCAGCTGTATCATTTTTCTTTCTTGAACAGGTGTATCAGCCCACAGAAGAGGAAATGAGACGTTGGTTGGATCCGTATGAAAATGTTGTATGCATAGAGTGCAATCGTGGTGGTGATGACAACCTCATGCTACTATGTGATATTTGTGATTCCTCAGCACATACCTATTGTGTTGGTCTAGGAAGACAAGTACCAGAAGGAAACTGGTACTGCGGAGGATGTAGATCCGGTGGGGAGGGCCCCTCTGCACAGGATACGGTGGTTCACTGCAGAGAAAGTAATACCAACCCTGCCAACAGTAGTTCTGGATCATTTGGCTCAGCCACACCAAGTGGAGTGTTCCAGAGACCACCACCAATCAACACCCAACCTTCTCTACAAGGATTCGATCTAAATCTCTCACCAAGAGAAACCCCTGATGAAGATAAGCGAGAAGAGTCACATGTTTCAGCTGATGCTGTTTCGACTCCTACTGGAAGGCATGCCACTCTCGATAGGAGGCGGGCCTTTAACCGACGAATTCGCATCCTTCTATTTAGACCAAGGGTCACACCTAATGGGTGGCAGAATCCGATTCAGTCTGACAGGACAATACCAGAGAATGAACAAAATCCACAGAGCACGTCCACTCCAACTGAAGTGAACCCATCATGTTCCAGGGATAGTTCTATGCAGAACCAGCAGAGTAGCTCATCTTTTGTTCAGCCAGCAAGGGGTCTTATTGAACGCACCTATGGGGGTGGAAGCAATTTCCAACAAACAGAAGGTGCTAAGGAACAGCTGATTCCTATTGTCAAGAGGAACCTCAAACTAATGTGTGCTCAGTCCCCATTGGGTATGTATACCTATTTGCACTCATCAGCACTATTTTAATGTATCGATTTGGTTTGCACATTTGTATATAAACTTTGTAACCAATTAGTCATTAAATAACCTTAAGATGTAGTAGTTTGCTTGCCCCCTTCACTGTTTATTGATTACCCCAAGATTAGTATGCTCTTCTCAAGGACTTGTAGCTTAGCTTTGTGCTGTAGTGTGTATAATCGCTGAAACAAAATGACTATTTGAGTTTGTGCTAGGCCAGTCAATCGGCATATTGTTAAAATGCAAAATGTGGCTACAGACAGTGCTTTTCCTTTTTCTGGTTATGTACCTGCTGGCCTGGAAGTACTGGTCCTACTGGGGATGCCTTTTCTGCTTATTCTATTTGTTATTGAGTGAACATCAGTGTCATTATGTTTTGAAGTAATCCGTTTTTAGTTATTAGTAGTATTGAGCTATTATAGATAGTCAGCAGTTTTTGCTTATCTTCTATGGTGCCTGATTGTGTGAGGGTGTTGGTCATGGTGCCTGAACTGAATGCAAAGGCAATTGTGTTGACCAAGCTAAATGGTGGGTATTAATTTAACTTGTCTAACCTATCCTTATTGTGTTTTATTGTATGTTTCAGGTCAATCTGATTTCAAGAATGTTGCACGGAGAGCAACACACACTATCTTAGCACTGTCTGGGATTGCACACAACGAGGATTTTGTTGTCAGTACGCCTCATCCTCTCCCTAGCCATTGTAACCATGCCTGTGATGGTCAGGAACCAGCATTTCTCATGAGAACCTGCTGCTCATCATGCTTCAACTCCTTTGTTGGTGGTGTCGTCAGTTACATTGCAGAAATGTTTACCTGAAGATGCTGCCATCATCTATTGACTTGACAATTTTTCTCTATTGTTGTCATTCTTTCAATTATAAACAGATCAAAAGATTATACAACCACAGACATGTTACTCAATGTATGGATAGTTTAAAATATAATGCATTTTTAATGACGCATTCTGAGCTCCATTTGGTCATGTGTTCCTGATTTTGTTACTCTTGTGATGGTTTAGCTATATTGGATGAGCGAGAGATGGAAATGAACATTGTGCAATCAAATGTTATGTTGAGAAATGGTTGCAGTACAGAGTACAGACCATGTCTAAGTTGCCTTAGAAGTTAGAACATAGCAGTACTGTGAGAAATTTTTTCAGTGTGGTGAGAAGATATATTGTTAATCTGCTTTTAGATTTACACTGTGGTTTGTTTGACATTCCTTTTTTTTCCCCTGAAATAAAAAGTCTTTCTGACAATCTGCATTGCAAGTTTTACTTGGTTGATAAGCTGCTCCGTTTTAGTCCATTCATTCACTCACTGGCTGTGTATTAAGTATGTTTGCATTGTAATTCTCTTTTTTTGCGGGGAAATGTTTGCAGCGTCATACAAGTAGAAAATTAACAGTGCATGCCAATATGTCAACGAGAGGATATCTGATCATGTATGGAATCAGAAGATTGGCATTTTGACGTACTGCTAGTAGAGAGTATAATCTGGTGAGGGACTTTGATATGGAATGCATAGTTTGCAATTCATAGAACAGATTCGATGGTTTTGGAGCAAGGAAGGAATCGTGTGCTTTTGATGTCAGGCTCATCAGATGTGAAGGAAGGAAGCAGAGGGAAGATGGCATCAGTCTGCCATGTGTTTTCTGCCCTGTTAAAATGTTACTTATGTAACCGTTGTCGTTGAGAGCAATTAAAGAAAGAAAAAAAATGCAAACAAACATTGGTTAATAGTAGTATACTTTGTTGGCACAATTTTGAAAAATAGAAATTATCAAGGTTAATTTTAAAGGGACATCAGAAAATAAAACAGTAAAATAAAAAGAAAGAAGAGGAAGGAGAAGAAAGAAAGAGACTAGCAAAAGCCGAGGGAGTCGAGCATAGGATGCCTGAGCTCCTAGCTGCATCGATCAGACGGAATCGTATTCATATCGGCAGTGGCAGGCAAGCCAAACCAACGTCTCCCCAACCCAACGTCTCACTCCTCTCTCTCTATCTCCTGTCCTGCCCTGCCCTGCCCTGCAGGCGAGGCTAGCTGCAGGTCAATTCATTGGCTCTGTGCTAGCTTGGGACTGAATCCTCCTCTCTTGAGGGCGCCGCGCTATCCGTCCATGGCGCCGTCGTACCGCCCCTACTCCGGGGAGTATCAGTACGGCAACGGCAACGCGGTGGTGCCGTATGGCGGTGGCGGCGAGCGGAGGATGAAGGCGGTGTGTCGGTGGGTGCCTGGTGCGTGGTGGCTGTCGGACCCGGAGATGAAGCGGCGGCGGAGGGTGGCCGGATACAAGTCGTACGCGGTGGAGGGGAAGGTGAAGGCGTCCATCCGCAGGGGGCTCCGCTGGATCAAGGCCAAGTGCTCCCACATCGTCCGCCGCTAGATATTTTACTCTACTACTCTCTACTTGTTCTTCTTGCTACTGCAACTTTTATTTGCAATCGATCGATGTCCTTCTTGCTTGCTTGATTCACGAGCACAGCACTCTTGTTCGTTTGCAATAACATCCATCTGCCAAGTTTGCTTGCTTTCCCTTTCCCCCAACTCCTCCTCCACTGCTTTGGTTGGGTTGGGAGATCTTGCTAGCTTGCAGATGTTTCTAGCTCCTAGCTAGTTATATACTGTTTCTTGTCGATCTATTGTCAATTTGTCATAGTACGATTGATTGATGTCTGATTACTGTAATGGCGCGTACGTGTAATGTTGCGATGAGAGCTCAAACAAGCAAACGTTTGGAGATATGCGGTTCGTTTTGCTTTGTTCTTCCCTTTTTCTTTCTTGGAATTCGATATTTCGATATATGATTATATTTGATGATGCAGCAGTCACGAATGTTTTCGCATTGGCAACGAGCGAAACGCGCACACACGCTCACTTCACTTGAGGGCTTCACAGCCAATACATAGGCCGTCTTCGTCTACATATATGGGCCGTCCTACTCTATCAGTAGTTACGATGGGCCTCAAACACGTACGGCCCGTTAATAGTTAGGAGTCGTCTCGGCGGCACAAAGCGCGCACAATTTTTTTCCTTTTCGCCATCTTTCCCTCCAACAATATTCCCCACTTCAAATTCACAGATTCACACGGCGGCTCACTCGACATCGATCGAGAGATATCTAGAATCAATCAAACAATCCTTGCAATTCCCCAACCCTAATTTCTCCTCCCATCCGATCCCTCCGCCCACCTCTCCATGCCCGCACACGGCGGCCAAGATGCCGACAACCGGCGCCTCTTCGCCGGCGTCCGCTTCGCGCTCCTTGGCTTCGACCCCGTCTCCGAGTCCCAGGTGCGTGCGAGCGATCCTGCCCCCTTACATCCCCACGCATTTCGCTGCGATTCCATGCCGGATCGTGCCAGCTCGGTGCTAATCTGCCGCGATTCGGCTATGTCTCACTCGATTTGCGGTTCCTTCCTTGCAGTATCGCTCCGAGATGGTGCAGCGCGGCGGCGTGGACGCCGGGGCCTACGGCGCAGGCTGCACCCACCTCATCGTCTGCGACCTCCTATACGTGAGTTCACTTGGCTCCCCCAATTTTGCCCTTCATCCATTCGCTTGCTTTGTTTGCCCATCGGATGTTTCGTCTCAACTGCTTCTAGGATAACCCAATCTGCGTGGCGGCGCGCAAGGACGGCACCAAGGTCGTATCCGAGCAATGGGTGGACGATAGCTTGGATCTCGGAGAGATGGCTGATGCTGATCGGGTCAGCTTCCCTTTCCCATTTTTCATTTATCCGCCAATTACCCCCAAAAAACCATGTATACTGCTTTTTAGTGGCACCACAGTTCACATTTTTGGACAGTCTACTAAAAAAATTGTCAGTGTTCTAGTGAAGTCCCTGCTGTTTTTTTTATGTGGAGTCGTATAAATTCTCTTGATTAGTTTTGGCAACTTGAAGCTGCTTATTTTGGACTTACAGGTACTATATAGACCAGTGAGAGATTTCAGCGGCATACCGGGTAGTCAATCACTACGCATTTGCTTGACAGGGTACCAAAAGAATTGGCGTGACGATATTATGGTAAATACTTATGATTTTATCCTCTAACTCTCCCACTGTAACCAGTCTAAAAAAAACTCTCCCATTGTTTCAACTTTCAGTTGATTGGAGTCTATTGTTGATGGATCTTTCAGTATCTTTCATATACATTCCAGTCTATATTGTTGATTGGAGTCACTTAAGAGCAACTTCAATAGAATGGCTAAATGGCTGGCCAAGTTAAATTTTAGCAGTATGAGAAAAAAATACCCTCCAACAGCCTCTCCATCTAGTTAGCCAAGCCATCTGCATGGCTAAATCACACCCCTCGCTGGCCAAACTTGGAGAGTCTCTTTGCCTGGCTATTCGTTGGCCCCACCACGCCACCTCCCACCCTCTCTCTCTCCCTCTCCCCCCGGCTAGAGCAAAAGGCAGCGACGATGACTACTACGAACCGCACGACGGCGACGGCACGGAGGAGAGAGGCGCCGGAGCTAGCCGCGACCGCCCGCCGACGTCCGCGCCGTCCCCAGCCGCGACCGCCGCCGTCCTCGGCGTCGTCGTCGTCGTAGCTAGCCGCGCCCGCCGCTGCCGTCCGCGCCGGAGCTAGCCGCGACCGCCGCCGTCTGCGTCGTCTCCAACCACGCCGGCGAGGGATGGAGGGCGCGGCGGTGAGGGAGGAGCGAGGAAGGCCGGCGAGGAGCGGATTCGTGCGCTGCAGCCCGCCGGCTTGGTGTCGTCTCGCGCGCCCGCCGCCGTCCGCCGCCGCCTCGCCGCCTCCGCCGTCCGCCGTCCGCCTCGCCGCCGTCCGCCGCCGCCTCGCCGCCCACCGCCGTCCGCCGCCATCTCGCGCCGCCTCGCGCGCCCGCCACCGCCGTCCGCCGCCGTCTTGCGCCGCCTCGCGCGCCCGCCGCCGTCCGCCGTCCACCGCCGCCTCGCGCGCCCGCCGCCGCCGTACGCCGCCGCCTCGCGCGGCCCGCCTCCCGTGAGTCGCCGTACGCTGCCGCCACGCGCAGCCCGCCTCCCGTGAGTCGCCGTCGCCGCAATCGAAGTAGGAGTAGAAGGGAGGAAGAAGGGGATGTACAGGGGAATGGGGTGGAAAAAGGTTAGTATAGGCTGACATATGGGTCCTATTTGTCATACACTTATGATGGAGATAGTAGATGGAGAGGCTGTTGGAGTAAACCACGAGTTTGACTTGCCAAATTAGATGGAGAGTTGGCCAAATAGACATTTGGAGAGTCAGATTTAGAGAGACTGTTGGAGATGCTCTTAGCTTTCCCTTCTGTGTGACTTGTGAGAGATGATAAAGCATATGCTTAAGTTTTGGTCCCCTTGTATGGAGAACTTGTTGCTGCTATACTGCTAAGTATTATCTCCAATTTACTGACACCAAGCCTGTTTTAACTTATTCTTTCTGCTGTAGAGCAACTCAGTTAATATGCTATATAAGTGGATCCACATGCACCACTGTTCCTTCAATACTCTTTCCATGTAGGAATTAGATTCTTCTATCACATTCAGGTCTTAATACCACTATTTTTTCTTCGCCTCATCACACGTCTTTCAACCACTCGTTTTGCTGTTGAATGTAGAAAATGGCTTCTTTGATGGGAGCAGAGTTCTCCAAGAGTTTTGATGCGCTCAAAGACACCCATCTCATTTGCTATAAATTTGAAGGTATACTTTTTTCTCCTTAGTTTTCCATACTTTGGTCTGAACTTATGTTGCACTTACTGTTTTTCCTCATCCTTTCCTCCACGGTTATCATTATAGTTTTATGACCATGTATTATATGTGTTGATTTTGCACCTGATTTATTTGATCTTTTTAGTTTATATTCGAGTTTTAAAATTATGTACAAATTTCATGTTCATTTATCCTTTTACTATAAAGGTGTCGAGTGTAAAGCTTGTTGACTTACTTTGGCTATTGGAAGTTGAATGTATGGACTGTATTGTATTTTGATGTCGGTTGTTGGGTTAGTTTGCATAACTGATGCACACCTCTGAATGTTTTACTGAAATTAGGGCTTGATTGTTTTCCTGTCTGCATTCAATCCATTGTGCTAGTATTTAAATGCAATTCACCACCTTTTCTAAACTGTGCTAGGTGAGAAGTACAAAGTTGCAAAACGGGAAAATACCGCCAAACGGGCAAATGTCAGTCTGGTTAATCATCAGTGGCTGGAAGATTGGTATGTGCATTTAATCAACTACCTAAAAATTAAAATGTTACCAAAGCACCATTGTTACTTTTAGCTGAAATCCCACATATATTTGCATTCTGCAGCTTAATGGCATGGAAAATTCTTCCAGCTGATGATTATACGAAAAGGTGAGGATATAATGCCACATTGTCCCTTCAATGTATGTCTCTTTTTTTTGTACATGTGCCATAAACCCACAACTGCTCATTCTTCAGTGTTCTGTATGTCATGTCTGGTGTACTTGCTCATCACAAGTATACATCTAATGTTATTCTTGGAAGCTAATTATGGACATTTTCTTTATTCAGCGGTTGGGAAATAGAGATAATGGCAGCACAAGCCAAGGACTCCGAAGATGATGAAGAAGAAGCTGGTAGAAGCTCATCTCATAGTAAACGTGCAACTAGAAGCGCACGCACTAAAGATATTAGAATGGCTACTCTTGTTGATCCTCATAGTCAAGCACCCACTAGAGATCCTACTATCTCCTCTTGCAGTGCAGAAATTACTGCTGGAGGACACATGAGCACTCCAGAGCGGATTACGAAAGCAGGAGGTTCAACCAGTAGATCACTCAACATTAAATCAGACATACGGAATACTCCAATATCTGCTGATTCTGATGCTTATGAATCTGCCCATTTTCCTCTTAATGGCAAGGAAGAGGCTCCTGCAGCTCAGGTCCACAGAGCTGAAGCCAAAGATGATGTTAAAATGGCAGTTGATGCTAGTCCTGGTGCACATTGTATTTCCAACATAGCTGGGACCACAGTTTGTTCTGATCATCATGTGCATCAATCAACTACTGCACCTGCTATGTTGGTGGACAAAACAGAGACCATTGGTGGAAATTGTTTGGATAGCAGTAATCAGAACAATGTGAACATTGCACTTTGGTCAACCCCTTCCAAAGAAACTTTCTCAGAGAAAACATTACGGCCATCAGGTATAAGTGGAAATGTAGGCCAGAAGGATGGTGGATCTACACCTGATCTTAATACTGCAGTTGATCAGTCAAATACTGCACGGGAGCTAACTTTGTGTGAGGCTAATTTGAGATTAACAGGCAATGCAGCATCAAAGAAGAATAGCCAAGTCTTAAGTTACAACAGAAGACGTTGCCGGAAGTCTGTGTCACCAGAAGCTAATTTAAAACCAACAGGATCACCACAAAGTTTTGAGGGAGTTACCCCAAGGGTTGACTTTACTATCTCTCCATCAATGAAAAGTGATCACAAAATTAGTGACATTACTGATGCTGAAAGCCTGAGAGACGTTGAGATAGTAAAGAAGGTGAATAAATCAAGTGGTGCACTCGCTCAGAAGAGGGCAAGTAAGCTTTCTTCAATCAGTATGAAGCCATCCGTAAGCTCAGAAACTGGAACTGCAAATAGTCCTTTCTCAAGCAGGGAAAGTGCATCTGAAGCAGCAACGTTTTCTGATCCCAGTAGAAACTCTGCTGAATCTGTGATTTTAACTGCAAAAGAAAAGTCTGGCCAATCTAAAAGCAACCTGTTGAGCTATAGGAGGGCCTTGAAACTTGCAAGGCCTGTTGAAGGAGAAAAGCTTTCTGAAAACTCTACTAAGAGTAAGAAATCACTGAGAGAAAATACACTTGCACTGCATGAGGTTGACAAAGGAGGTTCTAGTTCTGAAAATGGTCTAAGGTCTGAAAAAGGTTGTGCTGCAAACTCATCTGCCGATTCTGAAGTTGACAAAAGAAGTTCTAGTTCATCTCTTCAAAACAGGGACACTGAGATGAGTGATGTGCCTCAGGTTGACAAAACTGAAGTTGTAGCTCCTAACACGGATTTTGCAATTGTGGTTTCTCATCAAAACATGGAAGTGGTTCCTAAATCGATCCAAGTTACTGCAACCATCAGTGAATGCGAAACATTTCCCCAGGAAGAACCTACTTCTAAAGTGAAGAATGCCAGTGTCAAGAGGTTTGGGAATGCCTCAAATAAAGCAGCCACTAGATCTGTAAAGAACAAAGATGAGATTGTATCTTTCAAGTCTGATGGTGATAAAGTTGAGGTGCAACCAGAAAAGAATCATGCTAGACCAAATGGTGCTGAATGTACAGTATTCATTCCTGAAGAAATCCCAAATAGTAAAGCAAATAATGCAGCTACCAACAACTCGCGGGATGCTTTACAGATGAACACAGCACTAGCACTTTCCAAGACTGAGTTAGCAGAGAAAAATCCTGGCAGTGCAAGTGCTGATGAATATCGAAAGAGTTCATGTGAGAAGGTATCTCAAACAGCTGATGTCGAGATGCCTGATGCTCCAATTGTTGATAGCACTGGAGCCATGTTTTCAAAGTCAGGTTTTAAGGAAGTGTTTCCTCCAGAAAATGCAGGATCTTGCCCTAAGAGACTCTCAACCAACACAAATATGGGTGGCCCTGAAACATGCACCCCCAGTATTGTACCAAACAACAGAGTACGAAAGGCAGCAGCCAAGAGGAAAGTATCTGCTGTCCAGCAAAACAGCTTTGGTGATGTGCCTTGCAAGAACAGCAGTGCTGTTGTGTCTGAATTTAAATTTGTGTATAAGAGAGCTTCAGAGGGTCCTAGAAATGGTAGCAAGAAAACAATGGATCAGAATCTTCAGAGTTCCAATGAGGATGGGGCCAGAGATGCCGGTGTATCATTTTCTGAAGATGACATGCGAGATAGATCGAAAATATTGCAAAATTCGCAAGCAAGAAGCAGCAAAAGACAAAAGGCAGCAGATTTAATGGATGGTTCTACTGATCATGACAAGGAGAACCTACCAGGGAATCATAATATTTCCAAATCAAAATATGGAAACAGTTGTACGAGTCTGAACAGTTTTATTCAAGCTGCAGGAAGTGGCAAAGACAGGCTTGCTGACCGCGGTGTGGTAGAAGAAAACGATTGTGGAATGTTAACTGTGCTGGAGCCCAGATTATTTATTTTGAGTGGGCATCGCCTTCTGAGAAAGGAGTATAAGTTGATACTTAGACGCCTGAAGGGAAGAGTTTGTAGGGATTCGCATCAATGGTCTTTCCAAGCAACTCATTTTATCTCCCCTGAGCTCCGCAGAACTGAAAAATTCTTTGCGGCAGCTGCCGCTGGCAGGTAGGTATACCATTTTTCCCATATGTGCCCCAGTGTTAATTCTCATAAATAGTTAGTATTGTGCTGCACCAGTCACCGAATAACTCAGTTTTCTCTCATTAGGCTTTATATTTCGAATGGTTTATACCTTGCTCTTGTTGTGTCGAAGTCATCCAACAAAAAAGTGCGCAACCACTAATATTTTGATACAAAAGGGCATTTATTGTGTGCACTAGGACCTGGATATATCATTTTTTCCTTTGTTATGATTTAACCTTTTGGCTGACCATTGCACCCCCAAAAAAAAAGCTTGCTGAAAATCTAGATTTTGACTAGGAAAACAGTGCCGATGCAACCATTCTTCCTTATCTGATTTCATGATATCTTAAGCTTTGCTGTTTTCCCCCAAAATAACAGGTGGATACTAAAGTCTGATTATTTGACTGCTTGTAATGAGGCTGGGAAGTTCTTAGAGGAAGAACCATTTGAGTGGCATGGTAATGGCCTTAACAATGGTGATACTATAAGTTTGGATGCTCCTCGGAAATGGCGCCAACTAAGGCAGCATACTGGCCATGGCGCTTTCTACGGGATGCAGATAATTATATACGGGGAGTGCATTTCTCCATCACTGGTAAGGCTATCTAGACAATGATTTTTTTTTAATCCGACAAGACAGTTGTGATGCTGTCATGCTACTAGTAGTACAATATATTGTCCATCGTTATGATGCACGTAATTTCAAATGTTCGTTTCTCATCCATGTTCGTTGTCTTTCGTTTGTTCTTTTAACAGGATACACTGAAGCGCGCGGTGAGAGCTGGCGATGGCACCATCTTGGCAACCTCCCCACCTTACACCCGGTTCTTGAAGAAACCTGATCACGTCGACTTCGCTGTTGTATCTGCTGGGACGCCAAGCGCAGATGCATGGGTAGAGGAGTTTAAGAGGCAGGGCATTCCATGCATCAGCGCAGATTATCTTGTGGAGTACATCTGCAAGCCAGGTCAGTCCCTAAACAAGCATGTCCTCTTCAACATGCACGATCTGGCAGACAAGTCCCATGCGAAGCTACTCAAGGGCCAGCTTGACGACGTGCTTGGAGAGGCAACTGAGGCGATGCAGCTGAACCAACTTGTTCGGCTTGTGGATCCAACGACCGGGAAGGAGGACTGATGCTGATCTGTGGCAGTGGCAGTGACGAGGAGAATGGAACCCGGATGCATATTCCCCTTGAAGCTGAAGCTGAAGCTACCCCAGGTGATGGAGGAGAGTGGCTGTGCACCAGCTGCCACAAAAATAAATTCCCCCACAAGTCTGCCAAATCAAGAGTGCTGAAACGTAGCTGATCTCTCTGCCTCTTCTGTTCTACGGTAGCGATGATTGTCATCTGTGCTGTGCCGGTGTAAAAAGTTTTTCTGCTTCATGGTTTCTACGTGGTTTGCCAGCCAGTGATCTCAAACTCTTCATATATGATAGCACAGTATAGAGTTGGTTTTCAGTAAATAATTTTACACTTGCAACCGCCAATAGTACAGTGCAGTACAGTTCACCACGTGATTTTACATACATGTATTATACTACTACTACTACTACTCGGCACGGAAGCAAGCTATAGCAACGAAGCATTTGCAGCTCTTGAGAAAAGCATTCATGTAAAGTTGTTGGCCATTTGAATCAATGGAGCATAACTGGGACAGAAACTTTGTGGCAACTTACCGCACGGATCTGAAATCTCGTGTCGGTTGCTGCTGCACTTGACTAAAAGAAAAGGCCCCTCCACTGTTTTGCGATTCACCGAGAGAATCGAATATATTTTGAGCAAAAGGCGAAAAGCCAGCAGGGCCATCAGCGAGCGATACCTGTTGATTAAGGGCATCTTCACTGCATCCATCCTCTGTGTACGAATGGATTAAGGGTGTTAAAGAAATGACCGTGAAGATATTTGCATGATTAAAGCCTGGAGACATAAGAAATGGGCCCTCCTCCTGTTCATTAGCTCACAATGAGATTGTCAAGTCACATCAGACTCGGGTACTTGTGCTGCCTAATCTTCTCATCCATAATAGTAATATTATTAGTAGTATAATACTACTAGTAAATTGATGCCAGTGAAGCATGCATGATGCTGTCGCTACAAATCACATCGGCCCAGTGTAAACTCCTACTCCTACTGAGTTAACAGTGAGTTACTGCAGCTAACGTAAGGGTTAACATTTTGTGTTACTTCACCGCAGGTGTCATGTGTAGTACAGTACACAGGTTGGTACCACCAATTTTGATAGACCAATTTGGCAGTGCAAAGACGGCATTTGGACGTTCAAATTAAATGATGTCTTTTGTCTTGCTCAGCTTGATCGATCACTTTATCCGCTTGAGAAGGATATTAAACCGATGCATCATGTGAACCATCAACCTGTAAGTAACAGACCATGTTGTGTGATCTGACGCAATAAATTAGCTAGGGGTGCCTCTGCCTCTGCCTGCACGATCCAACTAATAGTAATCTACACGACACGAGCCATGCTAAGGGACAGCTAATTCGGCTTCCTTTTCACGTCATTCTTTACGCGAGTCATGCCCTGTTCATGCGGTGCAACCTCTCTTCCTCTTTATTCAGAGAATGAACAAGTACACCATCGATCAAGTGGTGCAACGACAGATCCAATTCCTTCTTTCCAATCCAGATCTGATGAGCAAACAACGGCTTGCTTGCTTGCTTGCATTGCAAATAGAAATTTTCAGATGGGCAGGTTGGATTAGATATCAGTAGCTAAGCTAGCTGGATCATCAGAACAAAAGCTGGCATGCCATGGCCATGCAGCATTGCAGGGCAATCTCATTAAAGCTTGGTCTCAAAAGGAGAACGTCCTTTGTGCAGTGCAGGAACATTACTGTAGGAGTAAAAAATTTTGCCATGCACGAGTGTACAGTCCCATGGATTTCTCTGCACACCAGCAGATTTGTCATCGGATTATGTCCACATTTGTTCGCTTTAAGAAAAGCTGTAGTAGGATGTTACTACCATTGTTACTCCCATTTCTTCCTTTACATTCAGCAGGGACCAGAGGGACCATGAATGATGAGTTCTCACAAACAATATGGCGTGCCACTATGCCATGTGTGAGACTGAATGCCAGCCATTCTTCAGTTGCCATATGCCACCATCGATAAACTTGAAGCAAGCTGATCAGCTGAGATGAGCTAGCCCACACTCACGAGCTGCTAGATTGCAGCTCTATCTGCGGCTGCAAAGCAGAAAACGGGCGACTTTTGGCTGTGCAGCCATGGGACCGACCGGACCGAGACGACGACACCAGATCTGCTGCTGCTGCTGTTGTTTGTGCCCATATTGATCTCTCGCATCATCCGCCGTCACCAGAGCATGGGCACACACACCTTCACCACACTTATCCACATGCATTTGCTGATGCTTTTTCCTCGTCCCCGAATTCTGAATTTGTTGTTGGTAATAGTACAAGCAGAGGATGAAGAAACTTGTATAGCAATAGCATCGCCTTCGGACTTCAGTTCGTTGGAGGTATGCGGCTGCAGGTAAAATATACTCCTACTACTACTATACCAGTGCAGGATCTTGATTGATAAAATAACTCTGAATTGAAATCTGTACAAAATTTGCATTACCAAGAGGGTAGCCTAGCATGGTGCATGGACATCTACAGGGAGAGAGAGAGAGAGAGAGAGAGAGAGAGAAGGGACCAGATTTCACAAGGAAACTAGAGCTACAATACTTAACAGACTCTACAAGTACACAACAAAACGAGACAAATCCAAAATTTTTCAACAACTGCCTTCTGTGGGTCGTTTTCCCCGCTGGAAAGCGCCATTTCGAGCTGTACACAACTTGTCCAGATTTGGAACCAAACCAACGCTTCGCTTCAAACTTGCTCTCTGTTTTCCCGCCACCTTCTTCTTCCTCCGTCCTGGCCGCACTAGCAATTCATCAGCAGCTCATCGCCTCGCACTTCACCGGTATCGGCCGGTCGAACCCGCCACGGGACAGCAGGGTCCCCACCACCGCCATGTCGCGGCAGAACACGCCCTGGAACACCGGACTTCCCATCGCCGCCGCCGCCGCCATGGCAGCTGTTGGCATTGCTGCTGCCTGAGTTACCTGAACCTGAACATTCGTGCTAGGCACACTAACACTACTGATCCTGGCCTTCTCCGGCACGGCGGCGGTCTCTTCTTGCTCGCGCGCCAACGCTGCCGCGGCGGCTGCTGCTGCTGCCGCGGCGGTGGCGGCGGCGGCGTCCTTGGCCCTCTGTCTCTCTGCGGCCTCCTCGTCCTGCACGACGGACATGATGAACGAGTAGCCCTTCTGCAGCATGCGGTACAGCGACAGCGCCGACATGCGCGCCTGGTCGCGCACGGCCTCCAGGTCGCGGTGCTCGTCCACGAGCTCCAGCCTCTCGGCGAACGACGCGCACCGGTCGGGCCTGAGCTTCAGCGTCAGGAGGAGGTGCGCGCGCTCCAGCTCCGACCGCGTGCAACCGCGGCGCACACCGAGGAGGGCGTAGTAGTCCACGCTGCACGCCTCGCCGCCGGCCACGCGCCCGCGGAGCTGCTGGATGCGTGGGGTCAGCGCGCGGTGCGCGCCGGCGATCTCACTGAAGCGAACGCCGCCCTGGGGCCGCCATGTCGGCCCCGGCAGCTTGCCGTCGCGGAGCGCCGCGTCGTAGAGGAGCTTGAGGTGCTCCAGGTCGCGGAGGCAGTCGCTGAGCGCCCCTACCGACTCGAGAAGGTCGGCGCGCGAGCGCAGCGCCGGGATGAACGCCGGGTCAAGCGCGAGCGCGCGGTTGCAGTCGGCGATGGCGTCGGCTGCCCGCCCGCTGGAACGGAGCGCCTCGGCGCGGCCGACGAGGCAGGCGGTCGCGAACGGGTGCGGGAGCACGCCACGCCGCGCGTCGAGCACCTTGGAGAAATGGCGCACGGCCTCGGCGGGGAGGTCCGCGTCCAGCGCCGCCACCGCGGCGGCGCGCCGGCGGAGCAGGAGCTTGACGTGCGCGAGGAGCTGCGACACGGACTCCGCCTCGCTTCCCGCCGCGCCGGACTTGGAGGCTCTTCGACTCGCCGGCGCGGAGATAGCGTTGGCCGTGAGGTTGGACGGCGAGAAGCTGTCCTCCGACCAGCAGACGCTCTCCCGTCGGAACGCGGCCGAGGCGAGGCGGCGGCCGGTCTGGAGCAGCGCGGCGGCGTCCTCCATTAATCCGAGGTGGAAGCAAGCTTGGCCCAAGACCAAGTACCTCCACTGGGTGTCGGCGCTGGTGTTCTTGGAGAAGCCGGCGAGGACGCGGTGCTTGAGGTCGGAAATGTCGAAGCAGCAGAGGAAGCGGGAGGCGGCGGAGGCAGCGTCGGAGCGGTCACGGGCAGGCGAGAGCAGGTCGGTGCGGGAGGCGGAGGAGCAAGAGGAGGAGGAGGAGGAGGAAGAGGAGGTATCATCGGCGGAGCAGGGCTTGGTGCAGCTGGGGATGTAGTCGCGGAGCATGTCGGCGACGGCGCGGTAGCGGCGGAGCGCGAGGAGAGAGCGCGCCCGGAGCTCGAGAGCGGCCTCCATGCGCGGCGACATCTCTAGCACCGCTTCCACTAGTCCAAGCGCCGCCGTAGCCGCTGAGTGCTCGCCACCTTCCCCATCCAGCGGCGCGGCGGCGGCGGCGGCGAGAGCAGCCCGAGCCTCGGCGAGGTAGTCTCCGATGATCTGCTGCACAATGCACAGCACCAACAAATCAGTTGCTGAAGCCAAAGCCAAATTGGGAGCAAAACCGCCCAAATTGCCATCTTTTTTGGTGGCACATAACACATTGGATGAAGAATTAAAGAGGGGGCAAGAAACAACCTTTCGGTGTCCGCGGAGCCAATTCCTTCTCCTGTCCGGCGAGGACACCGCCATTGGTGGCAAGAAACAGAAGCAGCAGTAAGGCCTTGGCAATCTACTGGAGTACTCCTATGTATGGTATGGAGTATATATACTTAGGAAATGTAGATGGATTGGGAATGAGAATGGAGAGCAAGAAATTAAAGAAATGCCAGCTCCCTCTGTCCCTTAACGAACCAACCAAACTACTCCATCTCCATGAGTCCCATGACCATGAGAGGAGAAGAGAAGAGAAGAGAAGAGAAGAGAATGGAAGGGATCGAGTAGTATAGTATAGCTGGATATGGATGATCCCAAGCTGGACAAGAAGAAGATGCCCGTGCTGTGCACTCCTCCTCCTTGGCACGCACACGCAGGCCACCCTACCCTAGTATTGGTGGTCTCCTAGTGCGTAGGGTGCCATGGCCTATGCATCCACCTCGGCTAAAAGCTTTTTAAAGAGAAAGAAAGAGAAAGAAACCATTGGCACATCACCCTGCCAGCAAAGCAATTCCTGCCTTTTCTTCTCTCCTCTTCTCTTCTTTTTTTTTTCTTTTCTTTTTCCCTGCTGGCTTTTCTGATCTTCTTCATCTTCTCCATGTGATTAGGACACTCTGCTCATTCATTCACATTCGCATCTCATGATAACCTTTTACTACTCCTGCACACCACCTAGAGTACCACAGTAATTGTCGTGGATAAACTCACGGCACACTACTCCTACTCCTACCTACTTACACTTATAATGGCATGTGTAGTACAGTAGTAAACTGGAAGAATTATACAGTAGGATTACAGTACATGGAGTAACAATTTTTAATTAATTACCTTGCATATATGATAATGCTGTTAGAGGCAGTAATGAAATGGAATGCAGAGAGAAGAAAGAGCAGCAGCAGCAAAGCATACTTAAATTTCATTTCAATTCATTGAAGCCTTGTCACATGTAGAGGCCTGCCTGACTGTCAGCATCATATCATGCATGGCATGGCCTTTCCAGCACACCAACTACTCTGCTGTCCACCCATGTTACTCCAGTGGTATTGCTATGTTACACTTCCCTTCCCCCTTTTCATTTCATCACTGCAAAACTACTCATCTTTCAAACTTTAAAATACAGACTACTCCCCTACTACCAGTACGCCAACAGTAATCAAAGCAACCATTACCTACCCACTACCTCTACATAGTGTACCGAATTCATCTTATTACTGCTAGACTAGGGGATTAACTCACAAGCCCTAAATGGATTATACTACAACTGATTTACCTCTAGAAGAACACATGTTAGCATGTACTATGAGCAACTAACAATGAGTGGGCCCAGCTGTCAGACTGTGTCCATGGAGAGTGCTAATGAGGTGGAGCCAGCTGCAGGCTGTTGGAGCAGTCGCCTGTTAATCAATAATTAAGAAAAAGGGTACCACTACTCCAGGCTGGTTGCCAATGCCATACAGTAGCATTTTATTTGGTGACTACCATCGGATGCCTGATTGCATATATATATTGCCCATGCATATGTCTTCGCATACGGTCAAACGGATGGATGGAGGGGATCATTGGATCAATCCATCCCTGTTTTCAGACTAGACTTTCAGGGTTTTTCAGGTGGCTGGACTGGATTGGACCCTAAGGTCAGGTCAACCTTGTTGACACCTCACCATTTCCATCACTCCAGTACCCTGTAGATACAAGTGTACTGGAGTACAGTACATGTTTGTGACTACAGTATATAGATACTCTTGCTCAATTATTTAGTCCAGTAGAAACTTGGGTATGTGGGGAAGTGGAATCCAAGGGTATGTATGCTTTACTTCACCCACCCTTTACATTACCACTTGACTACACATTTATTAAATATTTTCTAATCAGTTCTAGTACAGTTTTTACCTCTTAAACTGTGAGAAAGTATATATCTCTTCAAGGATAGGTGAAAAACTCTTCCTACAAATATTGACGTTCTCTTTTTGAACCTATTTTTTTTAAAAAAAAATTGACATGGTCTAAATACAACTTTGGCTATAAATTTATATCACACTATATTTGTCAAACCTGATAAAAGCTTGCATTACCAGAGTATTTTCTTGAGGCACATTATGTTCATATATCAAATCAAAATATTTAAAAAGATCTTGGTGTTCAAAGTTTTAATAAAGTTATGGCTAAGGGCATTTTCACTTTCCTACCATTTTCAACCTTACAAGTTTTGGCGTTAGCATATTTTGGTATAGTCAAAAACTAAACATAACGTTACCATTTACCCTACCAAATATTGGTAATTCTAGAAGTTTCCTCTCACTAAATCTCTCTCAATGGTAAGGTTTCATACCAAACACAACCAACACTATCAAATTTTGGTAACTTCAAAAGTGCTAAATTTTGACATTACCAAATTTTGGTAAGGTTGATTTTGGTAACAAAGTAATGAACAAGCAGCCCTAAGAAATTTTCTGCATGATGTTATGTTGTTGTGATCAGAAGGAGTATTTAATTACTGTTTGTTTCCATTTTTCCGAAGCTAGCATTATTGATTGCAGCAGTTGATTGTCATATGATCATCTTTTTTTTTCGGGGGAAATAGGGAGATATATTACTCAAAAGAATCCACATCGAGGAGATGTGAAATTATCATCCTTGCATATACGAGCGATATGAGCATGATCATGAGCCCCATGCATTAGGGATTAGAGAGTGGGAGGTGAACTGGTACCACTGAATAATGATTGCCCCTCTCGCCATCTCATCTTAATTAGTGGTTAATCCATTGGATCATTGGACGAGTTGATGTTTATGACTTTAGGTGGTTGGTTTGCTTTCCGTTTTCATGTATATATATATTCGGGCCAAAAGATAAGGCAATAATCTTCCCCTGTACGGAGTATATATGTTGAGCTGGTGAGACAGTTCGTTGATGGATTAACCGTTTTTTAGAGAAGGCCAAACCTTCTCATTCTAAAGTATAGCAATCTTATCGGTTGTCCATCTTGTCATGGCTTATTAGATAGTATTAAAAGTTAATTTATAGGTAAAAATTTCATAGATGTGTTCTCAGTAACTTAAAAGTCAATACTGAAAAAAAACAATATTGAAAATATCTTAAATCAACTTCAAAATTAAGTTTTTAAAAAATAAATTTTAGCCTTAGCTTTAGCTTATTAGGGCAATGTTTCAAAAAAAAAGTATAGTAGAGTGAGTATATGCGTGTAGACAATGCAACCGTTATGTCAACATCACATATACATTGAGCTATGATCACTGAACATCTCTCATGCATGCTAACTACCAGCTCCTAACTGTCTCCAAACTGCCACTGGGGATTAATGTACTACTGTCTTCTACTAACCACCCGGAAGCCTGCCATGTGTTTTCAGTTGTTTTTTTTTTTAATTCAGCTATGGAATATCTATACAAGACAAAAAAAAAATTAAAATATTCTAGTATTGTTTAACCTTCAGCTTATAAGCAACCAAAATTTAGATTTTAAAACCTAATTTTAAGGTTTATTTTGTTATAGTTTATTTTCCAACTTTGGTTTTGAATTAATAAAAATACATATAAAAGTTTTCTTCACACATTATTGTTTAGTTTTATCAATAAAACGTTACGGCTTATAATCAGTATAAACAAAACGCGACGTACTCTTTTAAGTTTCGTGTAGAACTCAAGGCTGAACAGAACCTAGTTTGTTTGGAGACAGAGACTGAAGCTCGCTTATATACAAGTCAAATTAATGTAGAAATTAAACGTGGCAAATAGTAGTAAGTGATAATACTACTCCAGCTGGAAAAGAAGACATGAGTACTTTAATTAGGTGATCGAAACCGTTTGGTAAACAAGGAGCATTAGTGCTCCAAATCTACCAGCAACGAATCGAACAGCGAGCATCTAGTCACATGGGGAATGGGGGCAGATATATGCAATGTGGGTCAGGACTCATCAGGGTCAGAATATTGATCCTCCAAAGCCATTGGAGCACCCATATCTGCTCTACCCCTGCATGTAGTACTCAGTAGTTAATTACACTTGTGCCGTGCACTCAACTCAAGGCCGGCAGTTGCTGCAACCTTCTTTGGAGTATCTTCAACTGAGAATACAGTACTGTGTCACAAGTTTAAACTGATAGTTGAGCTAAATGGAACATGGTTAATTTCACACTAAAACTATCTCATAATTACTGCATGCATGCAGCTAAACATGGGTATAGTCCCATATATGATCCAGCATTAAGTCGCTGTCTGTCTGGTGTGCAATGTGCCAATGTGTGTGTCTTGTCTGCATGTTTCTGATCTGAATTTGCTCTCGCTCGTCCCCAGCACAGCAAATAAAGCAGTACTGCTAGCTGCTGCCAAGTGCCAACACATGAAAGAGACCTGTTATTAATCCTAGTAACTAGCAGAGGCTGGCAGCAGACCACTGTTCCAAGTACAGCAAGCAAACATTGGTGTGGTGATCCATGAAAAACAAGTGAGTCGTTCCAATATGCAACTATATATATTAAGATCGATCGATCACGCAGGAAGGAAGGACAGGATCGAGTGCCTAGGCAACAACAAGCACTACCAAACAACGACCCTCTCTGCTAACTGATCACTAGCTTGATTCCTGACTGCCTGCCTGCCTGCCTGCCTTTAATTCTGGAGGTCAGCGCAACTCAATCCATCGACATCGAGGAGGAGCAACAACAAGCCCCTAGCTAAATGGGTGCATATATAGTGCTTGCCTTGCCTTTTTGTCAGATATATATAAGCATATATATGTATCCATTCCTATATATATCTTGGTACAGTAGGATGGAACAGATCACCGTATTCATATGTCAATGCATCATATGCATGTACAGTAGCAGCGCGGTTAATTTGGATGGACCATCGATCATGGCTAGGTTAATCCTGCATGCTTACATGCATATATGTCAACTAGCTCGATCTATCCAGCTCATTCTTGCTGCTGATATGATGCTGACTCTTTTCGCGATGCTGTGGAGTACGAATTCGAAGTCGCCGGATGGCATATCATGCATGGCCGCGCGCAGCTTTATTCGTCGTTTCTCTAGCTAGCTAACTATAAGTAACTAACTATAATTGATTATTGGTCTGCCACATGAAATGTCTACACTGTATGCATCTCTCAGCTCCTCATCTTCACCAGTCGATCCAGAGGCTAAAAGAATTTAAAGGAGCAATCTTTATCTGGTGTGAGCAGGTCCCTCCAACAGGTCCGCTATGCTTAACTTTATTTTCTTTAGCCCCAATATATTTTGAAACACACGAATAATTTTTCAGTGGTCAAATTTATAGTACTAATTTGTGTCACATCTCGTACTAGATTTATTTTTTATGTGACGGAGAGAGGATGTGTAAAGTCTAATATTCAAATTCATCTACATGTGAAGAAAAAAAAGATAAAATTCTGATAGATTTATACTCTTAAAATTATTAAGTTTTTTTTGTTACGATAAAAATATAGCGAATTTGAGGTCAGATCCTTACACATAGTTATAATACTTTTACTCAATTTTTTTGAATTTTCAATAATATTTTTAGTTGATTTGTAGTAGTGTAAACACCAAACTACTTTCATTGAATCTATACATTGATATGTTTATTTTGGGTTGAAAATTGTGCTACATGTCTTTTTATAAACTTTATCAAATTTAAGAAAAGTTTAAATTAAGATGAAATTAAAACAACTTACAGTACGAAACCAGGGGAGTACCTAACTTGTAATGGAATCAAGATTATATTGCTACGTGTCCCTACAGACAGTTTGACTTGCACACAACTGAAAAAACAACAATATATGCAAATTCCAGATCCATCATCGACCGCAACAATGTCACCATCGGACGAAAGAAGGGAAAAACAACGATAATAAAGATATATACTTTACTTTTTTTTAATTTTTTCCTTTACTTTTCTCTGCTTTTCAATCTCTTGTACTTAAGTGGCCATGTGGTTGTTAAAATGGATCCAATCTTTAGAATTATTTCTAACCTTTGAACTCTACGATTTTTCATGACTATTTATATAGTTACGTGCACCAATGATGCTAGGATAGGGGGCAACATATCCTATGCACACAGATCCTCACGTGTACACATGTGCACACCAACTAAAAAATGTCACCAAAAAATCTAGAAAAAAATCATACACATACTTTCAATTGTATTACACCTAGGGTTAAAATCTTAACGTCAAATTCATTATATTTTAGCCGTAACAAAAAAAAACAAAAAATCTGACAGTTTTAAGGTTGCAATTTTGTTAAAATTTTATCTTTTTTGTTATTCTCTATGTAGAATGAATTTGAAGATGCGACTTTGCACGTAGATGTAATACTATTGAAAGTATATGTATGAATTTTCCTATAATTTTTTGTGATATTTTTTAGTTGGTGTACACGGTGTGTACACGCGAGGGCCTGTGTGTATAGGATACGCTCCCAAGATAGGGAATGCAATTTTTTAATATATAAAGAGGTAAAAGAAGATTAATTCCTGCTCTCTGCACTAACTTAAATATGCGCATTGTCGTTTTAACTAGGAGTAGGACATGTACAGTAAGGCGGAAATGGATATGCAATTCAAAATATCGATCCACCCAGTGGGCTTATAGGTTTTTTTTGTCATGGTTAAATTTGAATTGACATTCTCTCTAGTTTTTGTTATAAAGCTGGATCGATCTTTGGTTAAAAAAAATGAATTGGTAAGGGTTTTTTTTTGGATAATGGAATTTAATCCATGTCTACGTCAGACATATATACAGCAACAAATTTGAGAAGCAAGTTTGTAAAGGTTTGGTTAGCTAGCTATTGTCTGTCGTTTATTTCTCTCTGTTTTTCTTCTTACTTGAAAGGCAAAGGCACATAGATCTCCTGTTTGATATCGAGAAATAGTTTTTAGTGTACACTTGCATTTATTTTAGAGCCATGGATATGTATGCAGCGAATGTACTATCTCACTCAGAAATGTCATGCACCCAAAAATAAAGAGGGTTGCACACGGCCGAGACATGATATCTCATTGGATCCTATGCTAAAGTAGCGGCAGTATGTATTGGGTTGGGGACACACAGAGAGAGAGAGATGAAAATTATTCATTCATGCGGTGAGAAGAACAAAGAAACGGAGTTTCTTCCGGACCCGCATAAGAGTAGCAGTAAGTGTTCGATGCTTTGCATTTTTTTGTAACAACAGGGCAGCTATATATATGCCTCTAGATCATAATTCATAAGAGTGACTGTATGATGAAGGCAGGCATCTGAATGAATGCAGAGTTGGCTGTGAGCTGATAGTAGTAGCAGCTAGTAGCTTTTTACTAGTATCACTATCATGTGTCTGCAGTCATGCAAATGTATCATGTTCTCCAGTCCATATTACATAATATTACTGACAATGAGCTATTACTAAATGTGTGAAAAAGGTGCGGGTAGCTTGTGTTTTTATTCATTATTTCGATGGATTGTTCACAGTCAGTAATACTAACAGGGCAATCGATTGTTGGGTATAGGAATAGGAAGGAAACAACGGAGGAGGAACCTGACGATGAGTAAAAAGTTGCATAGGATTCCCAATGAGCAGTGCTGAGTGGAGTGACCACCCATATATATATAGGGTGTGTTTAGTTCACGCTAAAATTAGAAGTTTGGTTGAAATTGGAACGATGTGACGAAAAAGTTAAAAGTTTATGTGTGTAAGAAAGTTTTGATGTGATAGAAAAGTTGAAAGTTTGAAAAAAAAAGTTTGGAACTAAACACGGTGATAGAGGAGTACATACATATCTTCAGGCTGCTGCACGGTAGTGGTACATGGCTACTCTATGCAACTGCAGGGCCCCAGTTGCCTTATATATACTGATAAATTACTGAGATACTCTCTCTGATCCTATAGGCAGGCATGCAGGACAGCATAATGTACGTATATGATATGGAGCCGTACATACGAGCATATGGTACGCACACGTGCATGTACATACTCCTATACGGCAACAGGACACGACATACGCCGCTTACTTTACGTTTTGCAGCACACCACATCACGCCTCGCTGGCTGCTGCATTTATTTATTTATATCACTGCACACTCGGACTACCTCTTTCAGCTGTTTCGAATGTACTCCCGAAAAAAACAATACAGGATTAAAATGCCCGAAAAAAAATACAGGATTAAATGTCCTAACATCTCAAATTCTATGGATTGGAAAAACACAAGAAAATTATAGGAATAGCTATTTGCAAAAAATGTAGAAAAAACACAAGATGAGAGTTGAGAGATGAAGGATTTTTGCTAAGAGGTTGAAGCTAATGTTAGAATTCTCTAAAATTCCTATGTTTTGAGCCAATCCAAAGAAATTTCATAGGATTTGTTATAGCTATTCTTGTGATCCAAATAATCACGTAGGAAAATTTTTCATAGGACATGAATTCCTCTAAAATTCCTTAAAAATCCTTTGTTGCAAAAGAAACCTCTTGGTTTTACCAAATTTTGGTAATGTAATAACTAAACATACTTTTCCATTGTCACCATACTAAAATTTAGTATTTCTAAAAGTTTCTTCTCATAAAAAAAGAATTTGAAAAGGTGGTAAACCAAACACATCCAATACTTTCAAATTTTGGCAATGCCCATATGTGTCAAACTATAGTAATATCAAATTTTGATAAGATTAATTTTGGCAACAAACTAAACCAGCCATAGAGTAACTATACTTACAGATCAAGTACATTACCAAGGATATTACCAATATCGATCAAGTATTGTCTGCGCATCTTCAAATTACCAATAGTAGGTGTTGTCGTATGATGAACACTTTTGCTGAAAGGTAGGCTCACTCGAGTTTTATGAAAAATAGGATTATAAAGTATATTAGTTAATTAAGTAATATTGGATCCCTATTACATATCCCGTATAGTCTATTTATAGTTTCACTGTCCTAGATTTACAATTCTAGGTTTTTTTTATGCCAATGAATTTACATGACCGCCTTTATAACAGGGAGGTTTAAAGGGAAAAAAGTACACCGAAGGTCTCTCAACTTGTCATCAAGTTACAAAAACATCCTCAATCCGCAAAATCAGATATCCGGCGTCTCTTAACTAATCAAAACCGGTTACAAGAGGTCCTTCGGTGGTTTTAATCTCGGTTTTGTCCGACGTGGCGGCTAAGTCAGCGTGGGACCTACGTGGGGCCCACATATCAGGTGTACACGTCACCTTCTCTCTCTCCCCTTTCTCTTTCTCTGTTTCTCCTTCCTTCCTCTCGATCTATGCTCTCGTAGGGTGCGCGCGGCCGGCGACGGCGGCTCCCAGGGTGGCGCGAGATTCCCCCAGGCGGCGCGCGGGCTCGGGGCTGCGCGATCTCGCCGGCCTCCCCGTCCCCCTCGTGCGGGCCGCCTGATGTTCCCCTCGAGCTGCGCCATCTCGATCTGGTCCATCTCTTCTTCCTCGCTGGTGTCGCCGTCCTCCTCCTCGTCGTCCGGGCTACGCCGCCGTCGCGCGTTCCGTCCGGCATTGCAACACAGTCGAATAGCTGAAGAATTACAAAGCGACAATGGATGAATGATGAATCCCTTCAAAGGACTCCATGCCATGGCCGTTGTTCACCGCGGCCACCACAGGGGTCACCGCCCTCAAATGTCCACCCAGAAAGCTGCCATGGAAAATTAAACATAAGGCAGCGAAGTCATACACAGACATGAATACGGCGTGACACGCAGGAACTGAACAAAGGTAACTATGGCACGGGCACACTAGCAAGCACACACTTGCTGTGGTACACAATCACATCCATTGATGTGGCTAAGACCAGAAGCAACACGAACACTAATACGAAGTGTGAGCAAGTACGCACGCGAGCTCGGAGTAGAGGCATCAAACGCTAACTACTCGATCGCTACAGATTGGGGTTGAGTAGACTCACCATCGGAGGGGTTGGTGAACCCTGGTACGGAGGCGAACGCGGCGCACAGCACCACCGCGGCGAGGAGGAGGCGAGGCAGCGCTGCCGCCGCCATTCCGATGCCTCCGCAGCTCAGCCCCCCCTCCCCCCCCCCCAAAAAAAAAAAAATCCAGCGCCGATCGCCACGAAATCCAGACCAAATCGAGCGATCCGCGCCCGAAATCACCGACGACGCCAACCGGAACGCTCTCGAACCTTCCCAAAAACACCCTGCGTGCGCGCTTGCTCCCGACGCCGCCGCTCGAAATCCCCCCCCCCCCCCCCCCCCCAAATCCGTGCGGATCGGACCGAGCAATCCGCCCGCACGCGGCCGCCGCCGGCATCCCCATGCCCTGCGAGAGGAAGGAAGGAGAAACAGAGAAAGAGAAAAGGGAAAGAGAGAGGCCGAGAGGGTGACATGGACACCTGACATGTGGGCCCTACGTGGATCCCACGCTGACTCAGCCGCAACATCGGATAAAACCGGGTCAAAACCACCAAAGGACCTCTGGTGACCGTTTTTAATTAGTTAAGTGATGACCTCTGGTGACCGTTTTTAATTAGTTAAGTGATGACGGATATTTTTTAACTCGATGACAAATTGAGGGACCTTCGGTGTACTTTTTCCGTAAAGGGACAACAGTGCTCTTTTGGCCCATATGGACCGGCACATGGGCCCTAGAGACCCTCTCCTGGGCTGCTTACTGGGCCTTCCTGAACTAGACCAATTACCGCCCATCCGGCTTGGCCACCGGATTGAGGAGCACAGCAAAGCAAGTGTCACGAGACCAGAGTTGCTGTTGCTGATTGTTCTGCATGTTATCTACCACAACTACGTTTCTACTTCCTCCGTTTTACAATGTAAGTTATTTTAGTATTTCTCATATTCTTTTCGAACGAAAATTTTATATGAAAGCTTTTCTAGGAGCACAACCGCAGTAAATAGTGATCCCCTAGTATGATACGAGTAGTACTGTATATCGACATTGGCACGTGCTTACATGTATCTTCACTGTATCGATTAACAATAATTAACGACGATATTAATTAATTACTTGTATTAAAATTCGCTCTTCTACTCTACTCGACTCTCGACTCGACTGATCGACTCGATCCACCACACTCGAAACAATTAAATTCAGAAACTCGAACAAGTATAATACCTAGCCATTCTCTCACACAATATCTGCATCTTGCAAACCTGTAATTACTAGTGATTAATTCAAGCTAAAACCAAAATTACAAGGAGCACATATATTCAGCTGGGGTAACAACAATTAACAGCAGAACGTCGTCTCTAATCCCTTCTTTTCTTAAGCGAAAACTATGCAGATCCCAAGTGATTAATCAAGAGAGAGAGAGAGAGAGAGATCATGATCGATGAATTTAGGAGGATCTGTGGTGTAGTGTTCTTCAGATCGGGCTGTGATGAATTCACTGCTCTCGCTTACATTGATTCTTGGTTAATTGGGTGGATCGGAATTCAGAAAGCATAATCCATGGCAGCGTCGAGCAAGCTACCGCCTTGGCCACGGTGGTCGACGTCGGCGATCGAACAGCCATGACTCGATCTCGATGGCGGAGAGCTGTGTCTCCGGCGGATGGCGGTGATAGGCGCGACGGACGCCGGGGCTTCCGAATTTGATGGGCAGTTCAGGGAGCAAATGCGACGCCTCCGGGGTTCGGTAAATTAAACTCCAACCCCGAAAAAAGGCCGATCCATACAGATGGGCTACATACGACCCAACCGAAGTCAGGTGAACTCTTCAGAAAAAAGTCCACTTGGGCTCCGTCTAGTATACCGTGGATTTGATTAATATCCTTCAAATGCACAAACCTGATACAACAACTCCTCCAATTATTAAAACTGGTTAAAAAATAACTTCGAGAGTAATTAAAAAAAACTAGAATATTAGGGAAGGACCTAATATCAAATAATTAGGAGGGGTGAGGCTTTGAACCCAGGTTGTCTAGCCCACCACCTTGTGGAGCTAGCCGAAAGACCCCTGGGCATTTCTCACTTCAAGAGTAATTTAATGGTGGTTTTCACTGATGTGGTGCCCATGTGAAATATTGACCTGGTCTTTATACTACATAGCACTTATGTGGAATTACAATCAGCAAGATAAATAAATAAAAATTAGACCCACATATCATTGCACTTTTTTTAAAACAAGATTGAAATAATCCGTGTAACCCACATGTCAGTCATGACATGGCGCCTATATGTCATCCTCTCTCTCCCTCTCTTATTCCTCCTATTATTCTTATTATATCCTCCTCCTCCTTCCTCTTCCCTCTTCGGCCCTTCCTCCCCTAGCTAGAAGGCTCCTCTCATCCCTCATCCCTCTTTTGCATAGCAGTGACATGCGAGCGCTCCCCTCGCCCCTCCCTCCCCCCTCCAACCCCAAGACGCAACAGGTTAGAAGTCGTGTAAACCAGAAATGAATTAACGGCTTGCTCTTGTCATAGGCCATCTCATAAGTTGTGGGTTTTCTCTAAGGTTTCTGACGAGGTAGGTTTTTGGGGGAAGAGGGGAGTTGGGATTGCGGAGGGAGAGGCTGCCAAAATCACTTTGCTCTGTGGCTTCACTAAGAGGCGGGCAAACCCGGGAGGGGCCACTGCAGGGAGTATGGGTGGCTGCCTTGGAGCTGGGAGCTATCTTTAGCAATCAAGGAAGCTTGACAGCCACCCCGCATGCTGAGTGGGAAAGAGAAGGCTGCGGTATAAGTTGACATGTGGGTTTTACAGTTTTTTTTTCTTGTCACTTACACGTGGGATCTATGTTTGTTCTTAATTTTTCTATTGATTGAACTGCCAAGCCAGCTAATACCTCTATTAAAATTGCTGAAAAAGTCATTTTACACAATCTTAATAGCTGATGGGTTCGATATATTTGATTTTATAGTTAAGGGATACGAATGAGATCCGATCAATATTAAAGGCAGTCAAACTGTAACACTTTAACGCACCAACCCTGACTTCCCGGAAGTGCTCATTAGGTCGAGAACTGAAAAATTTGTACTCCCTCCACTTCACAATGTAAGTCATTCTAACATTTCCTACATTCATATTAATGTTAATGAATCTAGACATATATATCTATATAGATTCATTAACATCAATATGAATGTGGAAAATGCTAGAATAACTTACATTGTGAAACGGAGGGAGTACTACTGTGTGTTCTGATTCATCTGACAGCCCAAAACCAATGGATTCGACCCCTTTTGTCTCCCTCCATTCCCTCCCCCTCCCCCAAAAAAAAGTTACCTAGGAGAGGATGTGACATTTTCTAGGACACAATCTCGACAAATGACTGTCCATGTTTAGATTCGTTGTACTGGGATAGGTTTTATTTTCTCCTAGGTTAATTTATTTTAGAACGGAGATATTAATGGAAAGGCATGTATCGAGTAACCCTAGCAGTTACAGGCACACATTTCGAGCGATCAAATCAAATCATTTTGGCCTGGTGGATGCTGCTCCAATCATTTAGGCTTGTCGACTAGTATCTGGCTGCTTAATTTATATGGTTCCTTTGCATGAAAGAAAATTCGTAGGATTTGTGGAGGATTTAAATTCTTAGAAATTTCTTTTCTACGAAGCCATTTAAACATGAGAAATAGGATGTCCAGATTCATATGAAGTAACCTCCATTTCCCCTAAATTCTAATGGAAAATAAGCCTATATATTCTCATCCTTATGTTTTTTTTACTCTCTTCATTCAAAAATACTACTATAAGATATAATTAACCACCCTTAATCTAATGACAAAAAACCATACTCCTTTCGTCTCTAAATATAAGGGATTTTAATTGGATGTGACACATCCTAGTACAACGAATCTGAACAATCTTCATATCTAGATTCGTTGTAATAGAATACATCATATCCAACTAAAATTTCTTATATTTATGGACGGAGGGAGTATATTATTGTCCCCTCGTTTAGATCACTTTAAGAAATGGTACAATGTATGCATCATTGCATATAAATATCCAATAGATAGATCATGAGAGTGAAGGATTCAAAAATAATAATTTAATGAAGAGAATATGCTAGTCAATTGAATATATGCATGCATGTCTTGTATTATAAAATATCTGAAAAATAGTTCTACAATGTCTACAGTGTCTTGGATTTTGGAACGGAGAGAGTACTTTGTTTTTTTAAGAAGTAGCGGATCGTTACGATGGAATTCATGATCACATGCAAATTAACTATAAACATGACTGCATCATAATTATAATTGCTCCTCGATCAATTAATCGATCTCCTTTTTAAGCCCCGGAGATCGATCGAGACAGTATGCGTACGTACACATCAGATTATATACAGGTAACTTAATTATGCTGCAACAGAAAATTAACCACTTACACTCATAAATACGCAACAGAGACAATGGTTGATTGTAATAAGCTACTAGTACAGTAATCAAGCAGTAACACTCAATAGCGACATATATTCTCTCTCTCTCTCATCAGTCTCATCATGGGAAAAAAAGATAGCGACGCAATATGGCATGCATTCATGCATGACTGCAGTTAATTACCAACGAGATTATTAAATACTACTATTAGATTTGTTTTACTGGTAGATAATTATGGTATATATGTTTTCTTCTTAATTAATGCATGGTAAATGATTAATCGATAGTAACTGAGGTGATTTATCAGGTGAGCTGGTGAGGTAGCAAGCGATGGAAGCAGTCATCGATGCCTGCCTACGAGGAGGGCAGCTTCTCCATGGCGGACATGTCCTCCATCTTCTGGTGCGCCCTCGCCTCCATCTCGCAGCGCTGGCATGGACGGCTCACCACGGCGCCATGGCCGTGCGCGTGCGCGTCTCCTCCCTCCAACGCCGGCGCCGCCACGGGCGGCTTGCGCGCGATGATGACGGAGTTGATCACCTCGCCCTCCGGGTGGTGCACGGCGAGCACGTCGAAGCCGCCGCGGCGGATCTCCTCCGGGTCCACCACGGGGTACAGGAATCCCCGGGCGCCGTGCGCGCTCCGCACCACCAGGGCGGCGCCGGGCGCCATGTGCTTCCCGAGGTGCTCCACCATGCGCGCCTTCTCCTCGGCGGCCATACCCACCAGCGCCGCCAGGAACACGACGTCGTAGGCGGCGAGGTCGGTGGTGACGTGGGCGACGTCGGAGGTGTGGAAGGCCATGCGCGCGGACAGGTCGCGGTCGGCGCGGACGAGGCGGCTGGCGCGGCGGTTGGCGTCGGCGCAGATGTCGTAGTTGTGGAAGGAGGCGGCGGGGAGGTGGCGGGCGGCGAGGACGAGGGAGCTGAGCGGGAGCGGGCCGGAGCCGAGGAAGGCGAGGCGGGAGGGCGGCGGGGCGGCGGGGAGGTGGCGGGCGAGGAGGGCGTACTCGAGCTGGGCGAGCTGGATGTAGTTGTTGAAGTAGGGGAAGAGGGCGAGGTGGTCGAGCGGGTTGTCGTGGGCGGCGAGGACGTCGGAGTAGTGCGCCTCGAGGTGGCCCTCGGCGTCGGCGCAGAGGCGGATGAGGCGGCCGCGCATGTCCTGCGCCTCCGCCCCCAGCTGCTCCACGTCCACGCTGCTGGGCGGGATGCAGGTCATCACCAGCTCCGTGAACAGCGCGTTCACCTCCGGCGACGGGCTCAGCGACGGCAGCTTGCCGATGGCCGCCGCCAGCCCGGTGATCTTCTCAACCAACTTCTCGATCACCTCCTCCTCCTCCGGCTGCTCCTCCTTCGCCATGGTCACCGCCTCCACTTCCACCGTCATACTCTCTCTCTCGATCGATTAGCTCCAACTGGTGATCAGTCGAACACTCGATCGAGCTGCTTTGCTTGATTATACTTTTGGATTGGAGTGCAATGGTGAGCCGCGGGGGCGCCATTATTTATAGCATAGGACGGTTTGGATGGGTGGCCCACGTGTCAGCGGGTACCTATCTCTAAGCTGCCCCTATATCTAACTTTTTGTTTTGAGATATAGCATCTATCTATCTACGGAGTACCTACGATTTTTTTTAAAAAAAATTATTTTAGTTTTTAATTTTAAAAACATATCTTTTCAAAACTTATTTTTAAATCAGTATCTTTTTGACCAAACCAATCAAGAAGGCGTGACGAAACAATATTATCACGTGGGTCTAAATGACGTGACAACGTTATTTAGTCATGTGTAACTAGCTAGCGTAACCACACCAATATAGCTGGCATGGTAGGACAAAACTATCATTGCCGCTGCAGGTGACGTAATGTGTTATTTTGTCACGCCAAATAAGCTGGCATAACAAAAAGGTTCATATTTTAAAAATGAATTTTACAAAGATTTATTTTTAAAATTTAAAATTTAAAAAATAATAAAAGTTATCTATCTACACCTATCTATCTATCAATCTATCAGTTAGTCTTGATCACTTCACCGATCACTACTTGGACTTTTTGTTATTATATTATTTTAAGTTAAAATAGTGGGTATTTGCAGATTATATATTAGTAGAGTAGACAAATTAATTACTACACAACGTATGCAAATGAGGAGGCTAGAGCTAGATACGACAGCCAATAGATAGCTAGCGCATTACGATATACTATATGATATGGTTCGGTTGACTTTAATTTGTTGGGGCAAACATATATATAGATATTGTCTTCAATATATATATAATGCACATATTTAACTATATTTCTCTTTAACTTTATATTTAGAAAATATTAAAAGTATAAAAGCATGATATTATTAGGACTTTTCGATACCCTACGCTGTAGTTACCAAACACCAACAGTGTCACAACGTATAAGTAGTGGGCTGCTGCAGCCGAATATATCCATGCTATCCTATCAGCCACATTATTTCTTTATTGATAAATCTACTGATGTTGGAGCTGCTTTATTGGGGTGCGATGAAGCTTGGCAACGATAACACGTTGCAGTTGTCGAGAAAGGTTGGTGTTAGCTGTGTACAAGTAGTAGTGCTCAAGTGGCTTGGGCTGATGTTTAAAGTGGACAGTCGGTGTCTTGCTTGTTTTCTACGATGCCTTTGGCAACGATGATGTGATAACTGTGGAGTCGAAACTGTTGTGTCGCTAGGCGACAAGCTCGGCAACGATAGCACTTGCCTCATGAAGTCGAAGCCTTTGTGTCGCTTACAACAAGCTCTTTATCGATGGCTGTTTTGGGCTTTGCTATTTTTTCTTTTTTCATGGTGTTGGTAGCTTAGGTTAGAGTGTTGTGGTTTTCGCCCAATTTTTCCTAATTAACAGTGTATTGGAAGGTTTGGTCTCGTTTTCTCCTTGAAATGAGGCACCTTCTTCTTTATATAAAACGTCGGCAACAGCATGACCATTCGAAAAAAAAGATAAATCTACTAATGTTGATTCCACATATCAAATATCAATGTTTCCATTACGATTCCAAGATTTTATTTGTATACTCTAACTAACATGCAGCCTTTTTGAGAGTAGAAGAGGCTATATATATGTGGAAGCGACTCTGGCTCGGCGCCCAATGAGAGGAGGTTAAAATCGGGCGTTGATGTCAGCATAACGTCAGCGCTCGATTTACGTGCAAAACTATTTTAAACTAACTTTTCTCTTAAATTACTTATCCAAATCATGATCCGATTGCACCTTTAAATTCGTTGCAATTAAATCTTCAAAATAAGACCACAAATGGATATATTCCGACGAAATTTTTTTTTAGCTTATTATTGAATTATTTTTAAATGTTGCACGATGTTCCACCAGGTATATCGGAATTGTTTCAACTAAGTGGATCGAAAATGTTTCATTCATTTAAATCAGGTGTTGTTTCACCTTATATAAAAACAATGTTTCAGCAAATAGCGAAAGAATGTTTCAGTTCACTGCAACATTAGATATATACATAGTAAAACTTTGTGAGTACGCTAGGTGAAATATTTTTGGTGGAATAAAAAATAAAACGAATTCCCTTAATAGAGGATTTCCAAAATATATTGGTGATTTGTTGCAATAGAATATTTCAGTTCACTGCAACATTAGATCTATCCATAGTGAAATATTGTGAGTGCACTAGATGAAACATTTTTTTTGGAATAAAAAAATAAACCAAATTTCTTAATAGAGGGTTTCCAAAATATATAAGTGATTTGTTGCAATGGAATATATGGTGAAGATATATGTTGAGATCAGAAAGAGACACCGTGCGTTAGGGAAGAGGGAGTGCCCGATCCGTCTCCTTCCGCGCCGGTCACCCGGCGTTGAGCATTTCCGTATATACTATGTTGCATCGTAGATAGATCGATCGAGCTGGCCACGCGTCACCTACGTCCGTGCACGCACAAGCCACACGCTCGCACGCGTACATGTACCTGTGCCTTAAACAATGCAATACCTACCTTCACTTTCTTAATCTCTCTTTTTCTTTTTTTTTTGTCCATTGACATCATTGCATCGAAATCGATACATCAAGAAGACAGATATAATATTTGTTGACATCTCACAAAAAAAACACCTGATCCCAGCTTTGTTCGTCAGTGAGCCTATTCATGTAGTACTACTTAATTAATATGTATTGTTAGCTTAAAACTATTCTTCGGGCCACGTTAGCGCATTAAAATTAATACACATCTAGTGTATATAATACTAATAAAATATACTCTATCCGTTTCAAAATATTTGACACCGTTGACTTTTTAAGTACGTGTTTGACCATTTATCTTATTCAAAAATTTTAAGTAATTATTTATTCTTTTCGTATCATTTGATTCATTGTTAAATATACTTTCATGTACACATATAGTTTTACATATTTAATAAATATTTTTAATAAGACGAACGATCAAACACGTGCTAAAAAGTCAACGGTGTCAAATATTTTGAAACAGATGTAGTAGTATCTACCATCCTATCCCAAGTTGATCGAGATGCCACCCGCCCCAGTCCTAGTGATTTTAATTGTTATAAGTAGTATTCTATCTTGTACAATATCATATATATCTTATCTCAATAGATGACGAAATCAATTAATTTTTTTCCTAACTAGTTAATTAACATTCCGATTTATTAATTTGTTAAGTAGAAAAGAACAGCTTACATAGAGTATATATATTATATATGTAGGGTAAAAGTTCCCGTACTTACGATTGCGATGTACTCTCTCCATCCTTTTTATATTATGTTGGTTTTCAAAAATAGACTAACCAACACCAAACAAAAGAGAGAGAGGATTTTTCTTTTTAAAAAAAACACGGTACAAACGTAGGTACTCACAACACGCGCACCTTATGAACATACACGTACATCCTATCCCTACCTCCGGAAGATTGGGCCGACATATTTTGAGATTTACCACGCGCGCCTCATTGTGGACAGATACATCGTCTACCATTTTAAGAATAATTAGCTAAAAATACGAGTATCCGTGTGAAGTCTAGAACTTAAACACGGCGAGCTAGTTTCACAACAAAAAAATCTGACGAGTCTAGTATTTATTATATATGCCATTGACAATTGAGAGGATTATCTCTGAAAGGGACCCCAAAATTTCAGCTACAGGCCGGTGGTCGTAGGTAATGCAATGACAACTATCCAACGCTAATTATGATGCCTGTGTATATAATGTAATGTACGTATTTCATACATGATGACGTAAGTACTATATATCCTAGTTAATATTTATTTCAATTCATACTCGTTTCTTTTCCGTCCACATGTCCTTCTTTACTTGGTGAAATTAAGAAATTACAATACTAGTTCAAAGTCTAAAGGGAATGGTGCAATGCCTTTGTTTTATGCAGTTTAATTAGGCAGGACGAATATTACATGTTCTGATGTTCACAAACACACCACTTAAATTTTGCAGATACATGCTTTCTTTATTAACTATCCAAATTTTAGGTCCCACATAGTAGGTCCATATGCAGTCTATTTCGGCCTAGTTTAGTTCCAAACTTTTTCTTCAAACTTCGAATTTTTTCATCACATCAAAACTTTCCTACACACATAAACTTTCAACTTTTCCGTCATATCGTATCAATTTCAACCAAAATTTCAATTTTGACGTGAACTAGACACACCCTAACCATGAACCATAAGTTTTTGGGAAAAATAATTAACTGTGTAACAGCCTAGACATATGAAAATGTGGATCATTTCAATTTATCCCTTACGGAACACTTCTGCCACCCTCGAAGAGATATAACTTACCTCCTCATAATACATAAACAGATTTGCTAATAATGTGTCGACGTGTTTTTCTATTAAAAACAATCGATTTTTTGTACGTGTGCATCTATGAAAAAAATTTGAAAATATACTTTTTTTTCATATTTTGTGATTATATACATGCATGAGATTAATTTGTAAAAATATACCCAATCCGCAGAACGAATGCGCGGGAGCGAGGACGACCCGCAGAATGGGGATGTGGGAGCGAAACCAAGCCGGTACCACGGATCCGGGATGCGGGACCGAGCCGGTCCCGCAGGCCAGGGAAGTGCTACCGCGCCGGTCCCGCAAGACGGGTTAGCAGCAACGTGGTTTTTTTGGGTTTTTTTGGGCGATGCCTGGAGCTGGCGCGCTCCCGCATAATGGATGCGCGGGACCATGCGTCATTTCCCAAACAGCGAACACATCTCCGTACGGAAAACGGAGCAGTCCATTAGCACGTGATTAATCAATTATTAGATTTTTTTTTCAAAAATGGATCAATATGATTTTTTAAGCATCTTTCATATAGAAACTTTTTTTGTAAAAAATACACCGTTTAGCACTTTGAAAAGCGTGCGCGGAAAAAGAAGGAGATGAGTTGGAAAAAATTGGGGGAATAACACAGTGGACCATAGGGTCGGCGCGGTCCCACGCCGCCGTTCTACGGTACCGCCGCGCGGCTGAGGACGCCAT